CGAGTTTGCGCAGCTTGTCGTCGATGTCCTCGGGCTCGGGCGGGTGGATGTCGTCCTCGCCGTAGTAGTACGACGCGGGCGTGTCGGGGCTGCCGTCGCCGACATGGAGGTGGCCGTTTGCCTTGAGCGCCATCGTGACGCGGCTAGAGTTTGAGAAGTGTGGCGAGTGCCGATGGGTGGGAGTGATCGCGGTTCCTGGACGCGTAGATGAACGTGTCAATGCTTGCTAGGGGGGCGCGGAGCGGCACACTCACCTTCCGCGGTGCTTGCGTGGCGTTGGGTGGTCGTGGTCGGAGGAAGAGGACGAGAAACGCTGAGAGGGTGAACTCCGATGGATCAGAGGGTGCAGAAGGCGTGGTGCGCCGGAGTTGGTGGCACAGCTTTGGGCGAACTCGAGCAAGATAAACCTTATCTACCCCTAAGACCGCCCCTTCGGGCAGGTGCACTTTCATGTGATTCTTCTAAGTTGCCGTGTGCCATGCGATCGTCCGCGGTAAATGCTAACGGCCGACGTCGAGACTCGGGAGTATACGTACTTTCGGGGAGAGGCTGCGAGAACCCTAGCGAGACATGTTCAATGTTCTCGGTCATCCCAGAGAACATGATGTCATGAACATCTGGATCGTGATCACGATGGGGTATCATTTGGGCGACATACAAGCGGATGTGCCAGTGGGCCACTCCAGCAACAGAACGCAACGGCTAGCACGTATAAGTATCGAACTTCGATGCATGCTGTCGCAGATTGCATCACACTCAACGCAGGACTAAGAGTGATAAGAATATGGATTAGGGATACATGCGGTACCAGATAATCCGCGAGTCAAGTGCGGTACACCTCCACATGCGGGATAAATATCCAAAGCTGGCGACACCACTACTGCTCGCTGACGAACACCGCCGCCATGCCCATGCCCGACCCGATGCACATGCTCGTGATGAAGATCTTCGTGCCCGTCTGCTTCGCGATGTTCAGCCCAGTCGCGACCTGCCGCGAGCCCGCTACACAATTCACCCCACGTCAGAAATCACTCAATTCGCACCAAGGGTAGAAGACGTACTGCAGCCGAGCGGGTGCCCAATGGCGATCGCGCCGCCGTTCACGTTCACCTTCTCCGCGGGGATCCCGAGCTTCTCGACCGAGTACACCGCCTGGCTCGCGAACGCCTCGTTGATCTCGAAGAAGTCGATGTCGTCCAGGCTCAGGCCGGTCGTCTCGAGCACCTTGGGAATGGCGAACGCGGGGCCAACGCCCATGATGCGCGGCGGCACGCCGACGTACGCCGCGGACACGAACTTGCCCACGATCGGCAGCCCAAGCTTCTTCGCGGCGGAGCGGCGCGCGAGGAGCACTGCGGCGGCGCCATCGGAGACCTGAGACGCGTTACCTGTGCGAGATCGTCAGCGCCGGATTTCTCGCGAGAAAACGAGGAAACGTACCTGCGTGTGTCGCGCCGTCCTTCTTGAACGCGGGCTTAAGCTTGCCCAGCGACTCAGCCGTGACGCCGTCCCGCACGCCGTCGTCGTTCGCGACCACGACCTCCTTCTCCTCCTCCGTCTTCGGGTCAACCCACTTCACCTTGAGCGGCACGATCTCGTCCTTGAACTTGCCCGCCTTCTGCGCGGCCGCCGCCTTCTGGAACGACTTCGCCGCGAACGCGTCCTGCACCGCGCGCGAGATGCCGTAGTCGGACGCGACGTTCTCCGAGGTCAGGCCCATCGGCAGCAGGCAGTCCTCCGCCTCCTTGCACGAGAGCACGACGTCCGAGAAGCCGTCGGGCATCGCACCGCCGCCGTACCCGAAGGTCATCGACTCCACACCAGCACCAATGCCGATGTCGATCTGCCCGGAGGCGATCTGGTTCGCGATGTTGTTCACGGCCTGGAGGCCGGACGCGCACTGGCGGTTCACGGTGCTGATGGGGACGGTGTTGGGGATGCCGGACGCGAGGGCGGCCATGCGCGCGGCGCTCGCGCCTCCGCCCGCGGGGAGGACGTTGCCGACGGAGATGTCGCCGATGAGCGCGGGGTTGATGCCTGCCTTGGTGTAGACGGCGCGCAGGATGCCGGAGAGGATCTCTTCGGGGCGCGTGTCCTTGAAGCCGCCCTTCTTCGCCTGTATAATGACGCGGTCAGACCATGGCCGAACAGTTCCGAAGGTGCGAGGTGCGCAATTTGAGAAACATCTTGGGGGCTGCGGGATGTGTTCTGCGCAACGTGCTTCGGAACATGCTCTATGTTCCGGGTGACAGAGTGATGAAGGTCTCATAGCTGAACCACGCAAGTTGGGAGGCACTGGCATGAGTGCTTTCGCGCGTCGCTGAACTTGGGGAGCACTCTTGGCAGGCCTCAACGGTGTACGTCATCCACGACTAGACTCTTGGATCGCACCCCAATGAGAATAGCGGGTATGATGTGCTTAACGTTGGCCACAGCGACAGCGGCCGCATTGTGCCGTGTTCGGCGGGATAGACCTCGCCGGAGCCGAGACCTCCTGGCAAATTGTACCCCTGCCTTCGACCTTCCTCTGCGACGCAAACGAGGCTCTTCGCGAACCTCGTGTGGGGCTCAAAGCACAGAAAGACAGCTCACCTTCGTAATAGCTGAACGGACTGCCGCGACGATGACGATGTCGTCGTCATTCTGGGCAAGTGCCCTGGCCTTCGGCGAGGTGCCGGTCAAGTTTTGGATGCGCTGGGTGATGGAGGACATGGCGGGGGGTGTGGGGGAGATGGTGGGGAGAGGCAAGACCGGGAGGAAAGGACCGCCGACTTTAAACATGTCGCGTCGTCCGAGGCGTCAGGGTCACCCGACGCTGAAACTCGGCGATGAGCAGAGCAGCCGGCGCCCCACATGTGATTAACTTTCCCCGCACTTGCCCTCATACGGCTGGTCTGGGGTTAGGGGCTCCCCCGCAGCCCCCCTCTCCGGCATTGATGAAAGCGGAATCACACTTGTCGGCATACTCGTACACCGGAGGTTGTACTATAGGTATGTAGTACGGGTTACTCTGGACATTCTAATTATAAATGAGATGGACGTCGCTTACTTCTCGCGCATGTACGTGCACAGGGGATACTTACAGAGCACATGTGTTACAAGCAGCACTCGCACACAAGGTTAGAATCGCCTGCCAAGGCGGCATTTTCCTAGTATATCTGTGCGTGAATAAGCAGATGCGGGGAACAGTGAGATGTGTGGAGTAATGGTATGGGATACAGTGTGGTCGTGGTATGGATGATAAAGTAGCGAAACAGCAACCTGATGGGAATCCGTGTCCAGTGTCCAGAGATACATCCCAAATAAAAAGCAAGAATCACAACATAGAAAAAGGGCTCACGTCTCCACCTTCTCCACCTCCGCGCTGGCGCCCGGGTCGCTCTTCAGCCCAAACCACACCGGGATGAGCTCCCAAGCCTCCTTCCTCGCCTTCGCCACGCTCCCCGCAAAGTCCTCCTTACACGCCGCGCAAATCCTCAACCCGCACTGCTTCGTCCCGTCCGAAAAGTCCGTCCTCGACAGCATCTCCACCGCCTGCGACAGCGAGAACAGCGGGTCCGCATCTCTCCCACTCGCGATCCCACTCACGCTCCTGAGGACATTCAGCATGATGAAGTAGTACGACTCGCGGCAGTGGTGCCCGTTCGCGTGCGCGCGGTTCGCGCACCCCGCCGAGATCGCGCGCCCGGACAGCTCCGCCTCGATGAAGCCCGCGAGGAAGCGCTGGCTCGCCTCGCGCCCGCGGAACGCCGCGCCCAGGTCCCCCCGCGCGAGCCGCAGCGGGTCCTTCGGGCCACTCGCGCCGCCCGCGCGCGCCTTGAAGCGCGCGAGCGTCGCCGGGAGTAGGTGCGGCATGTTCGTCGCGCCCGCGGCGATCTTGCGCGGGCCGTAGCGCGAGAGGTCGTAGAAGGCGGAGGAGAGGATGTGCTCGAGGTCGAGCTCTTCGGCGAGCTGGATGACGAGCACGGGGTGGGCGTAGTGCTCGCGCGGGTTGTACCGTCCGTCGACGGTTGCCTGTTGTTCGCGCCTGTCCCAGCCGATGAGAGTCGTCGGCCAGTCCGTCTCGAGGCGCACCAGGCAACGCTGGCGGAGGTGCTCGATCATGTATTTGTTCGATAGGCGCAGCACCGCAGACACGGTGCAGAAGTCGCCCGCAGTGGGTTTGGAGAAGTACCTATGCGCGCATCAGTACCCCCATGACAGTAACACGAACAGCAGCAGTACTCACAGCCCATCATACAGTGCCCGCAGCAGGTGCAGAACGTCCGAAGGGTCATCATGGAGTTCGACCCACGGGCACCCGTCGATCAGTCCCTGCCCGTCCTCGGCAGCCGGTTGCGGGAGCGAGAACATGTCATAGAAGACGTCCGAGTGGCGCACGAGCTGCCCGCGGTGGACCTTGAACGCGACGTTGCCCGCGAGGAGCACGATGTTCCCGTCCGCGAACCAGAAGTCCGTCGTCTTGTAGTTGAGGAGCGTCGGCGTGGACGGGCACGGGTGGCTGGGGGCGGACGACATCTTGGGGGGTGGGGGCGGAGAGCTTGGAGGAGAACCTGAGCAAGTGAAAGCAGCAGACGAGCGGCGAGCAGTGGGGAAAACAAGATAGCAAGGCGGCGACCTATATCGCTCGTGGATTCGGATATGGACTACTGCCCGCCTCTAATCGCATGCAGCTAGTGACCGGGCTGGAACGGCGGCGAACACCGGTGGTATTGAGCCCGGATTGTGATACAGACTGGAAAGTCGTTACGGTCATGTCATCCGCGTCATAAGATACAACGAGCCTCTCCTAGTGCAATGCGGCGCGAGGGAGACACATAAAGCATAAACGCTACACGTATGGAACAGAGAAGTCGAGCTCAGGGAGTCAGTGCGATGTCGAACGGGAATGGTGGCTGGCGGCCGGCGCAAGACCAGGGGGAGGCGGGTTTGGCGACCCAGGCATATGCGCCGCTGGTGGAGGTGTGGGGATCAACCCCGGGGGAGGGCCAGCCATCATATATACTGGAACAGCTTGGGCGGCTTCGCGCCTCCGTGAAGAGGAGGATGAACCAGGAGAGTCGGTGAGGGCGGGGCCAGTTGCAGGAGTCGTCATCGGGGACTGGTAGACGTACAAGGGTTGCGGGGGCGCGAAGTAGTAGCTGTACGACACGCCCTGCTGCCCCTGCCCGTGCGACGACATACCCGGGGAAGGCATGAGACCAGGGGAAGTGACGAAGCTGGCGGGGGTCCGCCCGTCGTGCGCGACGGCGATACGTGCAGACTGGCCATCCTCGCTCCGGAGACGCCGAGGCGCGGGTCGCGCGGACCCCAGCAAGTCGATGTCCTGGTGTCCCTGCACGCCCGTGTACCACGACCCGGCCTGCTTCGCCTTTCCGGTACGCGCGCGGCTCGACTGTGTGGGCACGTAGTCGAGCGCCACGCGAGAGGAGGTCCAAGGCAGCGCCTTGAGCTCGTGCACGAAGTCCTTCACGCGCGTGACGTGCGCGCTGAATGAGTCGTCTGGGGCTGCGAACCGCACCGGGGAGTCCATCTTCGCGTAGTCGCTCGCTGGGTGCGGGCTTACGAGCACAGCGCTCAGTGCGGGGGACGTGATGAGGCGGGGTGGGCTAGTGGGACGTCCGGCGGAGTGTGCATTGGACTGGCCGCTGTGGCGCTGCGACGAACGAACACCGCTCTGTGGCCGGCTCGGATCGGCATATGACACCTGGGACATCGACCCGGGGCTCTGAGGCATACTGACGGCCTCGACGTAGTGAACGCTTTCGGGGTTCCTGACGGTGACGCCGGGTTCGTCGTAGGCAGGGAGGTAGTGTGACTGTCCTGGTTGTTGCTCCATACCCGGCGCGCCCTTCCTCGTCGACTTGCGATCGTAGAAATGGCTCTTGGACATAGCGTTCGGGAGCTTGCGCAGCTGAGCTACGAAGCCGCCGACGAACGTGTTCTTCTTCTTCGGCTTGGGCTCCGGCTCCTCCATCGTAATCGGATCGTAGAACGATTCGTGCTGAGGCTGAGCTTGGGCTTGAGGCTCCGGTCCCCGTCGATCGTACTCATGTCTTGGCTGCCCATACCCATGCCCTTGAGCCTGAGGCTCGTACGCCGGGGCCATCTGGTGTTGTTCGCCCTGGTATTGGTCGTATTGGTCGTAGTCCTCATCACTCTGCCCAATCGTCATCCTCTCCGTCTCGGGCTCCCACTCCTCCGGCTCCGGCTCCGCGGGCCCGCTCCTGTACGAGTGTCGCGGCGGTGCCTCCCCGAGCTCAGATGGGGTCGGGTGTTGAGGGCGGAAGTCTGACATGCCCCGAGAGGGAGTGGGAGAGGGTACAGGCAGCGGCCGCGAGCCCACCGTGGACGGCGGGCCCGCGAGCGGAGGCGGCGACAACATACCATTGGAGACCCAGCTCGGGTTCGACGGCCTGCTGTACCGCGGGGCTCTGCGGCCGGTCGACGATGTCGGGTATCCGCTCGGTGGACGACCCTGAGAGGAATCGGGATAGAAGCTGTTGTGTGGAGTGTCCCTGTATGCGCCGGAGTCGTTGTAGTCGGACATGGTGGCGAGAAGGCAAATCGCAGAGCGCAGCTAGAATAGCTGGACGCAAGCTTATGCCCACCGCGCTCCGGAATAGCACGATGCCACGAGGAGCCAACGAGGCTGCGAGTGTTTTCTGGATTTAATGAATTAGACACCGCTGTCGGTGCATTGTAGGCCAGCACTCACCGCCTTGCAGCACTCTACAGCCCGTAAGCCTCGCCTCTCAGCATGCTGTAGATCATGCACATTGCACGGCAATCATCTGCACACAGGTCGCGGGCTCGGCGGTGAGAACAGAAAGAGCATGGAACGCGCGCGGTGAGAGTTTTCATGTTCGTCACTATGACGCACGGCGAGAGGGCCGGAAGGCAAAAGATATGGGCCCAACCGGGAATTGAACCCGGGACCTCGCCCATTTTCAGCGTAACACTGGGGTACTACCCGAAGGGCGAATCATACTACTAGACCATTGGGCCATGCTAGGTCTACCACCCGGATTTGACAGGGATCTCCGACTTCGAGCCTCAAGACGACCGCAGAGTGTCCCTACCGCGGTCTGCGTTGCCGCGTCCCAGAGTATATTTCCCGGCATGTCGGGCTTCCCTGCGTATCTATAACAAACCGCGAGTTGAAAAACCCTACGCTTGTGTGATCAGCTAAGCGCGACGTCAGCAAAATGAAAGGACTTACGTCGTAGCGTGCGCGAACTTCGGTGAACAACCGTACCTTAGCTCGAGCTTGAATTTGAAGTTACTGCGATCTCCTGCAGTATCCCACAACACTAATCATTGAATGTGCATGCCCGCGACGTCGTGCGTAATCGTAGGATGTCATCTCGCGCTTTCTGACTGCAACCACTCCGTAAGGTGCCTTCGCCCGGCGCGACAGACAGAGTCACATTGAATACACTCACCGAGCAGAGCCTGAAAGTTGACAAGGGGTTTCACCGTTTAGCAAAGGCACCTTGGAAAGTGGTCCACAGTAGCAGACTTTGGAACGAAAATTTCGTGTCAGTGATCTTCCAGCAGTGCAATATGGACCCACCTGGGACCACACGTACCTGAGAACGAGGCTTACTGAATGGTTATGACAATGCCCAAACAGTCATGCAGTTCGTCGGGGCAGCAAGCAAGTACGAGCGCTAGCAATAGCGACAATCTGTTGGTGGTATGCTTCGGCAGCTGCACAGTATGTTAGTCATGGTGGTCGCAGCTGCCAGAGCATAAAAGGAGACGAGGGCCACGGCTTACCTTCATACAACTCGCACCCCTCCTCAGACTCAGCACTTCCAGCTCACCCGCACGATCCACGATGGTCCTCACGCTATACGGCAACCTCGGCGCGACCTGCACAAAGCGCGTACGCACCGTCCTCGCCGAGCTCGACGTCCCGTACGAGTTCGTCAACATCGACCTCGCCAAGGGCGAGCAGAAGGCCCCCGCGTACCTCGCGCTGCAGCCGTTCGGGCAGGTGCCGTACCTCGACGACGCCGGCTTCACGCTGTTCGAGAGCCGCGCGATTGCGCGCTACCTCGCGCTCCAGTATGGGGGCGTCGGCACGCTCGTCCCGGACCCGAAGGACGTGCAGAAGACGGCGCGCTTTGAGCAGGCGGCGAGCGTCGAGATGAGCAACTTCGAGCCGTCGGCCGTTGGGCTCGCTATCGAGAATCTTTTCAAGCCGTAAGTGTTTAATTCGCGTCATTGAGGAATGGCCAGGCTTACTGAGTCGGCTATGGTAGGATGTATGGCCAAGCGACCGATACTGTGAAAGCGGAGCAACTGAAGACGACTCTTGAGGGCAAGATGGCAGGCTACGAGGCGATCCTCAGCAAGACCCAGTTCCTTGCTGGAGATGTACGTACCTAATATGCGCGGTGGCTATCTGAGAGCTATGTTTTTGACGGTAAATAATAGGAGATCACTCTTGCCGACCTGTTTCATCTTCCCTGCGGTGCACTTCTCGAGAATCAGGGCATCGATTTCCTAGTCTCTGACAGGTGGCCCAACGTAGCGCGGTAAGCACCAGGACTTGATAATCGAATGTCCGCATAGGCTTGATGAGACTGATCGTCCGAAATAGGTGGTGGAAGGCCGTTTCCTCGCGCGAGTCGTGGAAGAAAGTGTCCCAGGCGTAGAAAGTTTGTGCGCAGGCAGGCCTGGTGCCACTGGTGGAGGGTACTCCGCACTGTAAAATTTGCGATGGTATGCCCCAGTGACATCTTCCTTCTGGAGCTATAGAGAGCTATTGTACAAGGTGGATGTCGCGAACAGTCGAACTCGAGAGAGAACTCAGAGAAGACACCCGCGGGAGAGACGTGAAATGTTGCAGAACTTCAACTTGCAGGCTTCTCCTCGTGGGAAAGTGGAGAAGTTCCCACGGCGCAAGGTTACCACCTATCCGACTCCTTCAACCCCCCGACCCCCCGCTCACTCTCCATCGACGATGCACTGGCCGAATATCACTCCTCATATTACGAACCGCTGTTTGGTTTTCTTGCCTGCGCGGACATAAATCCAAACCCTCCAATACAAGCGGACTTGGATTTCACAGCAACTTGCGAATTCGCGGCGACCGTCGTTCCTACTACTTACGCCTAACTTCAGGGTACCGGCGCTCGTGTTAAGTCTTCTCAAAGGTCCCAAGTTGACGCGGACAGGCGTGAGCTACGGAAAGCCGGTGCATGCATAGTGCGCTTTCCCACTCATCTATATCACCGAGTCTCTTGGCTTCGAATGGTGAACCGCTGACCGTAAAAGATAACACAACAGATCCATCGCTCATGGGTACGGCACCTAACGACTCGAGAACGCCCGATACTGTCGGCATATCAGCATCTTCTGTTGTGCTATTGCCTCCGATATGTCATAATTGAATATGAGAAGGTAGCGTTGTCTCACCTGAAGCAGGGAACATCTTACTCTTGCCCACCCGGGTCCTTCGTAGGAGCGGCGCAGCACGGCGACTCGTGATAATAGACCCTGGCATCGCCATCTCTGCAACCTTTATTCAGCAGGCACTCCAATATTAGCAGCCCGAGCTACCTCCGCACATTCGGTCTGCAACGGTCTGTGTCGTTCTAGAGAACATACATAAGCAGAGGGCCAGAGACCGTGTCGTCGCCGCCGCACGCCTCTCACGCAGTCCGCCATGTTTCTCTGGTTCTGTGCGATACTGATCTTGGCATACTCTATATTTCTGCGCCGCAGGAAATCTAGCCTTCCTTTCCCTCCAGGTCCGCCTGGACGTCCCGTCATCGGAAACGCTCTCGATATTCCAACGACAAACATCGCGCGACGGCTCCACGACCTCGCAGCACGGTATGGTGTGTAGTTAGTACTCAGTCTGGTTCCGACTCGGGCTAACCCTCCCGGTAGGTAAATTGGTGTACTTCAGCGTACTCGGTCGTTCCATCATCGTGCTCGACTCCTATGACATCGCGTGTGAAATTCTGGATAAGAGATCGAGGAACTATTCCGATAGGCCCGACTCCGTCATGGCGAAACTGTATGTCATATACACAGCGTAGTTTCAGCGCTGTCTCTCACGAACTGTTGAACTGCTACAGAACATCATTTTCGGATTCCAACTTGCCACTGATCTCGTATGGACCAAGATGGAGACAACATCGGCGCATATTCCACCAGACTCTGCAACTCCCCACAGTGGACACCTTCTATCGCTCTAACATCCGGCAAGTCACGCGCGAACTTCTCTTGAACCTACTGGAGGGACCCCAGGCGTTCTCCCGACACATCAACCAGTGAGTACGCAACAGCGTACAACGCTTGCTTCTTGCTAACGATTGTCCCGCAAAGCGCTTTCGTAGCATCGGTGCTGAGCATCGGCTACGGCATCAGCATACCTAGGGATGACAAGTACTACGGAAAGCTGTTGCACGAGGCGTTGGAAACGCTAGAGGCCATCGTGGTTCCTGGAAAGTATCCTGTTGAGGTGATTCCCGCATTACAGTACCTCCCAACTTGGATGCCAGGTGCTCGCTTCAAGAAGGATATCGGCGATGTGCGGGAGAAGGTGTTGAACGCGAGATGGGAGTTGTACGACAAGGCCAAGAGTCTTCTCGTAAGTGTCCGCCACGCTATATAGCGTCGATGTACCTGACAGACTACGAATCTAGGACTCCGAGTACGCCGGGGACACCATGATTGCTATGATGCTCCGACGAGCAGCGACGCTGGAGGGCACAGCTGCTGCGGATGAAGAAGAGCAATGTACAGGTGCCTTGATAGGAACTTACCTGGGTGTGTCCGGATCCTTCAATCTGATCCGACGCCTGCGCAGAAGTACTAACGTTTCCTTCGCGCAGCGGGCTCCGACACTGTCAGTGCCAGTCCATCACCCCACCCGACGGTGCCCACCGCGCACCCTCATTTTCCGCTCTAATCTATCAAATCATGTTCACAGACTGTTGCGTCTGTACGGGCGTTCTTCCTCGCCATGGCAATGTACCCCGACGTCCAGAAAAAGGCGCAAGCCGAGCTCGACCGTGTCGTAGGGCGGACACGCCTCCCTGACTTCGACGACCGCGAAAGCCTGCCATACATCAACGCGGTCGTGAAAGAACTCACCCGTTGGAATGTGGTGGCGCCCATGGGGCTTCCTCATGCCGCTCTAGAAGACGACGAGTACAACGGTTACTTCATCCCCAAGAGGACCATCGTCATCGCCAATGTCTGGTACGAGGAACGACCGGTCCACGCCTCTGGGGGCTGGCTGACCGAATGTACCAGGGCCATGTCGCGCGATCCCGTCACATATCCCGACCCGGAGACCTTCAACCCAGAACGCTTCCTGAAAGACGGCGAGTTATATGCGGGCGCTCTGGACCCATACTCGTACATCTTCGGGTTTGGTAGACGGTACGCCGTTTTCATTCGCGGGTACCTGGACGTCTATGCTAATTTGACGTATAGGGTTTGTCCCGGCCGCCACCTAGCAGACGCCTCGCTATTCTTGACTTGCGCGTCAACGTTGCACGCGTTCAGCATCTCGCCGCCGTTGGACGCTAGCGGTTACCCGGTGAAGCTCGAAGCAAGGGTGGAGACCGACCGTGTCATCGCGTGAGTATATCCCTTTATGTTGTCGGTATTCGATGACCTGACGATCAGTTTAGACATCCGAAAGAGTTTGAGTGTATCGTGGAGCCTCGGTGGGCAGGTGTTGCAGACCTTGTCAGAACGTAAACCTAAATTTTGGTTGCACTACTTATGCTATGTACGATACACGCCGAAGGGCTCAACAACGCTACCATACTCTTCACAACTCGTCTCGCTTGACCTCGGCAGTCGTCGTGACATTGCCCAACACAATCCCCTCTGAGTTCTCGTACCCCTTCCACGCGCTCTCCAGCGCATACACAGCCACGCTGACAGACGCGTTCGCAGGCAGCTGCGCAGTGGACAGCGTCAACAGCGTCAGCGGCTGCGTCGCGAAGAACGACGCCGTCGCGCTCGCCGCGCCGCCGTCCACGAACACCTCGAGGAGACTCCGGTCGACCACGCCCGACAGCGTCCACGTCCCGTCCGCGCGCAGGACGGTCGACGTCGAGAACTTGTCCGTGAAGAACGGGTCGTCGAAGCCGCGCACGCGCCCGCGGTCGATGAAGAACGGGTTGTCGCCGCCGAAGTAGTACCCGCCGCGGACTGACTCGCCCGAGACGGGGCTAAGGAGCGTGAAGTTGAGCGTCGCGGCGCTGCTCGCGCCTGAGACGCCAGTGACGTTCGCCTCGAAGTAGACGGCATTCGACGCGACGCCGCTGTAGTCGACGACGAGTGTGCTGTTCAGGAGGCTAGAGCTCGAGGCGAGTTGTTGACCGAGCACAGGGCTGAGGTCGTAGGGAAGGGAGATAAGGTCCCAGCCGATGCGCGTGACGTTCGCCAGGTAGTTACGGCGCGGGAGCGACATCGCGCTGCGCCAGCCCTCCTGCGCGGTCGGGACGACCTGCGTGTACTGCCAGTTGGACGCCCACGCGATGGACACCGCGTCTTGGCCATCCGGGACCCCATAGAAGAACTGCCCCGCGTAGTTGTCCTTCGCGAAGTCCGCGACGCGCGCGGCGCCGTCCACCGCGGTGAAGTGCGTGCCATTGAACGTGCCAGGGAAGTACTCGGTGATGGACCCGCCGAGAGGTGCGCCCGGGTTGATGCTGATGGTGAGCACGTACATGCCGTCGTCGCTGCCCTGCACGGGCATCTTCACGAGATTGGGGCATTCGTACTGGAGACCGAGGAGGCCGTGGTGGGTGAAGTTGGACGCGTGCGACCAGGTCTTGAGGTCCGGGGACGTGTAGATGCCGACCGCGAACTCCTGGGAGTACGAGATGACCATCACCCAGTGGTCCTCGAACCAGATCACCTTCGGGTCGCGGAACTGCGTCGAGGTGCTGTTGATGACCGGGTTCTCGGCGAACGCGGTGAAGGTGTAGCCTCCGTCGTGGGAGTACGAGATCTCTTGGACCTGCGCCGTGGGCGTGTTCAGGGTGTAGATCGCAACCACGCCGTTGTCCTGGTTGGGGAAGAAGCCAGATGTGTTGTTGACGTCGACGACGGCAGACCCGCTGAAGACTTGTGAGTCGTTGGTCGGTGGGAAGATGGCGATGGGCTGGTTGATCCAGTGGTAGAGGTCTCTGCTCGTAGCGTGCCCCCAGTGCTGGTTTCCTGCGACGTTTGCCGTGGGATTATCTATGCTTTTCGTTAGAAGACGAACACTCAATCACAAAAGACAATCTTACACTGGTAATATAGATGGTAGGTTCCGTTGGCGTCAAGGAACATCCCATTTGGGTCATTCATGAAGTGCTGCGAGGCTCGGTTAGTCGTACTACTCAGAGAGACGCCGGGTCAGCTTACCTGAGGAGGTGAAAAGTGAACTTGCGGCCTGTATGCGCCGTTGTAGTCCCCCGGAATTGGTGTGCCAGTCGGGACCGCAGGAGCAGTGGTGTCTTGAGCAACGACGCCGCCTACCAGCGCCGTCACCAATCCGAGTACCGTGCAGAACTTCATGTCGATGGTGGAAGCAGGAGGCGAACTAGGGGTTCCACGACGATGCACGTAGCCCTTCCTGCGGTCTTATATACCGCGCTCAATCAGCCAAGGCGGCCCGACGTCAAGGATGTGGACGGGCGGGACTTGGGAGGGCGGGCATGAGCAGGCACGGGCGGGAGATCAGTATACACCGTGCCCCACGGGGCTCGGCGTCGGGGATCGGCGGGGTATATGCGGTCGTCGCGCTGACTCGCAATAAATCGACGCATGCTCAGCGTATGGTCCTCTTATTGGATGAATTCGGTCCGAACCCGACGGCCTGGCAGAGGTGTGTTTAGGGGTCGCCCGCCCTCAATTTGAGTACGTCGGAGGTGTCCACAGTGGCGAGTGAGCGAGACAAGGTCATCGCGAGACTCATCTCGACACCTGCATCGTGTGACTTTCAGTCGAGCATGGCCCAGTAGGTTGGAAATATACGGCTAGAGGAACCTTAGGTCGTTGTGGCAGGCGTCCACAGTTGTATCGAGGAAATGCGCGGATGATTGCCTGCTTCCAGGCCATCATCAGATGACCGCGGCGCGTAAAGAGCGCAGCGGCGGGTGTCTCGACTCTTCAAAGTCCTCCGACTCGCGCGATGGTATGTGTCCTGCCAGGGGAACGTGTATATCGAACAGCCTGAGGTGTTGCATGGGGCCTACATCCTGCACTGACCTGCGGAGGCTTCCAAGACGGACGTACCTAACCACCATTCCTCTCTCAAGCTTTGAAGATATCCTGCCATGTATAACTCCCTCGTGCGCCTGTGTCATTCCGCAGTCACGTCGCAGTCGAAAAGCACCGCACTGAGGCAGAGTCGCGGAAGCTCGTGGGAGGGAGAGAGAAAGCGCAGCAGCGCTCGGCATGCCGCCCGCCACAGCTTCGAGCCTCATTCATGTACCTCGCCGCTCGCCGACATGTCAGTGGCCGCCACAACACCCTATCTTCGTCTCTCTCTATCTCGGCATCACGAACGACCTCAGCTTTCTAGAATCGAGCGATGAGCTTGGACCAGAACCTCTTCACCTTAAACGTGACTGCTCGCGCCGATGAACCCACAACTCTCGACCTCATCGACCCAAATGGCACGGTGCACTATACCAAGAGACGGCTACCTGGGACGGATTACACGATCGAGATGCTGGGTGCGTGTTCAAGGCTGGCCATGTTGGTGTAAGGGAAGCTCACGAAGATGGGTCTCGCAGATCCGCTCTCGGAGAGTGTACTCGCGACGGTAACGGCCCCGAGCGCCACGAACAAGCATAAGACATTGCAGTTGTACAACCCTGATCTAGTTGTTGAGCTCAAGTACACCGGCACAATCCATTTCAAGTGGGGGTTCAAATGGGAAGAGTGAGTAGGTATGATCGTCTCTCTCCGCGCACTACTGAAGCTGTTGCACGATAGCCATGAATTCGAGTGGAAACGAGAGGAATGCTATATGCTTCGCAAACCCGACCCTGCTGTTCTTGTCGCTATCACCAAGGAGCCCCCAGGACGATTGCAGACACGGTCAATCCAGGTGCTCGATTACAACCTCAACCGGTACGTCTTCATTTTCTGGCTAGCGACTACATGGGGGGGGGGGGGGATTCTCCTACGGGGAGGTTATTCGATGGACGTTGGCTGGCTATGTGCCTTGCATACCTCCAGATTTGCTAACGAGCATCACAGGTTCGACATCGAAGACCGCAAGGGGCTTGAAATCGTCATTCTCACCGCCCTACTTACATTCCAAGACCTGAACGAGACGTATCACACACCCTCTACACCCCCTGCAGAGGGCAGCACCATGTTGGCCGTAGCACCATCACCCGGCTTAGCTGGCCGCCTTGGACTCAGCAGACAGTCGTCTCAAATACTCTCCGCCCCACCTCCGCCTGCAGTTCCACCTAAACCCCAGCCTCGCACAGGGATGAATCGCGTCGCAGAGATGCACGCTGTGCGCACGGCGCAAGGCGAGGGTGATGCGAACGAGATTGAGGTCGGGGAGGAGTGCTCAGTGGACGATTACGCCCAGTATGCGGAGCGCTTGCTGAATGTGAGTACGCCGGCGTCTTCAGCTCTAGCCCTTGCTGAGAGTTCTGCGTGTGGTCTCGGCAGGACGAAGCGATGCTATTCGTGACTATCCGGTCTGCAGCGGCCGCACAAGTCCCGAAAGTGCTGCGGGTCGTGGAGGAGACGAAGCGGCTGCGACATAAGTCAGGTCGGTGACTTCCTTGTATGCGTTCTAGTCTGTGCTGAGGCTGGCTGTCATCCAGGAGTCGCGGAGGACGAAGAGCTATACCAATACGTGATCTATGATACCCCACAAGACTCGTCCAAGCGCAAGGGCCCGAGACGCATCAACCTCAACGACCCAGATCCGAAGAGCAGAGGCAAAGAACCGGACAAATACGCACCTCCTACGAGTCTGACGGTTCACTTGAGCAAGATCGATATGCCCGAGCTACAGCCCAAGGTCAGCCCGGGGACTATACGTCGACCGTCTGGGTCCATGGTAGCCGCGGCGCCGTCAGCCATGCCCCAGAAGTCCGAGAAGGAGCGCAAGAAACCCGTAAAGGAGAGCAAGAAGACGGGGAAGAAGGAAAAGAGCAAGTGACGCGTCGCGCTCGCCTAGTCATTGTCACTGATATCGAATCTCCTCCATAGTTCCATCACCGAGCGCCGCCCAACCAGTTCCGAACAGACTCACCAGACCGCCGCCCGGTGCCCCCGCATTACCCGACCGTCCACCACATCCCTCCTCGTTCTTCAGCCGGCATGTGCCCCCGCATCAAACGCACCCGTACCAGCCGTCGCCGTCGCCCTCCCAGCTGAACAACCCAATGATATACACCGCCCCTCCTCCGCCTCCGCCTGGTATGGGCCCAGCGCGCTACCCGTCAGGGCCCGGACCCGCCCCCGTGGCCTTCCCGTTTCCTGATCTCGGCTCTGGGCAGTCTTTCTACGGTTCGGCGGTGGGAACAGGGTACGGTGCGATGCCACCGTCGGGTGGGGCGGGACTTCGACCAGGGTACAGCGGCGCTTCGGGGTCGGCGCGCCCGAGTTCGTATCATCCGTCCGCGTCAGCCTCGCCGACGGGAGAAGGGCCAGTGACATCCTTGCTAAAGATGTGGTCGAAACACTAGTGATAACGTGTGATCAGGATCTATGGGCGTGCGGCGGTAAGTACAGAATCACTCAGTGAACACACGGCGAACTGACTGTTTGCCGACTGCTCCTAGGTTGGACTTTAGCACTTGACTTGTACCATACACGTTATTTATCTCGGAGGACTATGCACACCACACTTCTATTCGTCATGGTATGGTGCGAGAATCTTACACTCAGACCAGAGGTTTCAGATGATGCCCAGTTTTGTTAGAACTTGCTGATAGCCTGACAGCGCCTTCAAGTAACGACACCAGGAGTTCAGCAGACCTCCTTGATGAGTGCGTTTACGACCTTGTCGTGTCACGATCATACATACTGACGAGGATAGCCTACGCTAGGATGGAAATATATCCCTCCGGTTCATCATCATGGCTGTACAGTGACCGGCCGCCCTGAAGTGGTCTTCATAGCCTCGTTGTTGGACGCAAACTACTATACGGCGTAGTCGACCATGGCAACTGCGTCCAAAGTCCAATCAAGCGTGAAGCCCGCCAGCGCGCGTCGGCGCGCGATGCGCTTGCCCAACGATTCACGAATACCTCCGCACGACAAATTCGCCGGCCGCGGCGCGCAACTCTCCATCAGTTGGGCCGCCCTCCGACCTGACCGGCGGACGACCACGTTTGGCATTTGTTTGATTCCGTCAGGGAGGGCGCGTTCGATCTCAACTGGGTGCTGACCTGATTGGACGCGCCATCGACGGCCTCTAGACATAATCTATCAAGCTTTCAAGTTTAGCCTCCTCGATTATATCGACGTCTGGTAAACTCGACAGTTGCTCACGGTGTATAAATTATCATTCACTGGTCGTCTTTTTGGCAGCGAGTGGCAACTGTGGGCCTGTGGCGGGGTTTTTGCGACCAGGCGTACGACATTCCAAAAATACGCAACACAACATGGGCGGAACTCGATCGAGGCAAACTGCGGCTAGGTGTTGGGGATACATCTTCTAACATGCCTACAATCAAAACTGATCAAGATCTGCCGCAGCGCCTCCGTCCGGGCTTGGTGCCTGCATCTTTCGCCCGCGTCTTTTTGCGTACGAACGCATGGGCTCTCTCTTTGGTCGTTGTTCGCGTGACAGCGCCGGTACAATTTTCTGCGTGCAACACCAATCGTGCGGCTTTGAGTATGTCTCGGCGCATAGCCCATTGTTCCATCAATCGGCATCTATTCTTGCCGCACCACTCCCTGTGGCGGCGGGACAAGGGGCCTCCTATAAAGATCCATGGTCGCGCCGCTATATTTTCCTCGTCCGGTTCCTCCACCGCACGTCCCTCCTTTTCTCCTTTTAACGATCAGGGATCGTTCAGAGCTCATCGACTTCTTTGCCAAGTGACCCAGTGTCCACCTCCGACCAGCCCCTCCTTTGACTTAGCGTAGATCGCCTGCTACTCTTACGACCCAGATATGAAGTTCTCCGCTCTCGCCGCCCTCTCCCTCGCCGCCGCTGTCTCGGCTGGCCCCACCTTCCAGCGCCGCGCCGCGTTCACGCTGCAGAATGGCAAGGACGCCATCGCCCTCAAGTGAGTTGATCCGCTCGTTCCGTTGATGTGTGTTCTGTGGCTGATTTGGCGCCCGTGTCCGATAGCGACAAGTTCAGCAAGTTGACGCCGGACTCTTCCTGCCAGACCGGCGAGGACGCGTGTGTTGACAACAAGTTCGCCCAGTGTGTCAGCGGCAAGTTTGTGCTTCAGCAGTGTGGTGGTGGTACGATGTGAGTGTCATCGTTTACGAACCGCTTTGATGGAGCGACCGTCTCACCTCCGTGCGTAGCTGTGCTGCCCTGCCCCTGGTCAACTCCGCCGGCACCAGCATCACTTGCACGACCGCTGCTGACCGCGACGCGCGTATCGCCGCGACTGGGGCGACTGCTGGAGCCGACACCGGCGCTGCCGCCTCTAGCTCCGCTGCCGCCACTAGCTCCGCTGTCAACAACGCTGCCAGTGGAAATGCGGGCAACAGCGTAGCGACCTCCACCTCCGCTGCTGCTGCCGCCACATCGTCTGCCGCCGCCGCCGCCGGTGGCGACAACAGCGACCCGCAGAAGTCGACCACCCTCGTCCAGTCCGTGATTGCGACCGGGTTCCAGAACGACGGCCAGGACCAGCCCACGGCCGGCCAGGTCCCCTCCCTGACGTCGTCGAACAACTTCATCAACTTCTGCGCGACGGTCCCGAACCTGCCCATCACGAACGGCAAGCAGATCCAGACGGGCTCGTGCAACCCCGCGCCGATGGGCGTGATCGCGTCCTCGGCGAACATGCCGTCGAGCAAGTTCGTGAACCCGAAGAACGGCGCGACGATCCCCGCGAACCAGAACTTCACGATCCAGATGGCGATCTCGCACCTCGAGACGGGCCACTTCACGAACGCGCAGGAGAACTACTTCGCGGCGCCGCAGGTCGTGAACGGCGCGGGCGACGTCCAGGGCCACTCGCACGTCGTCGTCGAGGCGCTCACGTCGCTCGACCAGACGACCGTCACGGACCCGTCCAAGTTCGCGTTCTTCAAGGGCCTCAACGACCCCGCCAAGAACGGCGTCCTCTCGGTCGAGGTTGCTGGCGGTCTCCCCGCGGGAACCTACCGCGTCGCGTCCATCAACGCTGCCGCCAACCACCAGCCGGTCCTCGTCGCCATCGCGCAGCACGGCTCCCTGGATGACATGGCTTAGTGAGTATTTACCTATCATGAGAGTCTATAATGATGCTGACCGTGCTCCGCTAGCTTCACCGTCGCTTAAGCGGTCCCTCACGACTTCTCGTATCTGGCGTATTTATGGGGGAGTAATTGGAAGTGATAGGATACCCTAGACTGGTGCTACTTCTGCCGTATTCTGTATCTGTAGACACTGGTATTGTCACAAGAATGTCGATGTTCTCTACCACCGTTACGCGCTGTGTGATCTTCCGTCCGCTTTGTATGGACATCGCGTGAGAGGCCTTCTACGCTAACACTGCGCCGATTTGGCGGACCGCGTAGTACAGCCAGTCTTTCGGAAACGAGGAGCGTCGTGCAGGTGTGTGATATTACGCATAGCGACGCCGTATGGTATATTCCGAGACCGTACATTAAGATAGCGGTCGACGTACCGCAACGAAAGACATCCAAACAGAGAAACAATACTACTACAAGGGTGGTAGCGGCCGACGGCACTGCGGGCAGATATTCTGCATAGGGCGTGTCAGTGGGAATGGTCAGGAGAGGAAATAGATTGCACTGACCTTGATCGCGAGCCACTACGCACGCAACGCATGCGGTCAGTCAGTATAGCGATATCATGCTGCATGTGAGACTTACTCTTTCCAGACAGGCAGTGTGCTGTCGTGCACTACCATCAGCAACGGCTCCAGCGCGATGGCCTGCGAGGAGAGCGACTTACGAAAAGATGGTGACACGGCGCAAGGCTGTACGTCTTTCTCGATGCAGCCACCTTGCCCAAGATCCCGCCCGCACGGCCGATGGTGGGGCGTTCCTTCCCGTCGCTGGACTTGGACCGTCGACGCAACGAGGGGTCGACAAGGATCGCGTCCATGCAGATCGCGCAGTCCCCGAGCGTCTGCTCCGGCGCCTCGGGGTCTGGCAGAGGCATGGACGGGTGGTAGTCGTGCGTCGGCGCGCGCGACATCTGGCATCGGGTGGTCAGGAACGAGAAACAGTGTGATCATGTATCGAGGGGGAGTGATGGACGCACCCGTTTGGGAAGGAAGAACGCAGGGTCGACGCGTTCCTGCAGGAAGATGACGGACACTTGGACAAACATCAACAGCGCTACGGCGTATATCCACCCTGTGCACGACGAGCCAATATTAGAACTGGTGACAGGATCTGCCACAGCTAGCTGTGGACGTACTGCGCGGCTGCACATCGAGGATGTTCTTCGGACATCCGAGGAAGTCTGCGGGAGCGTGATGGTCAGGATGCGGTTCGGTAGCATCATATCAAGCGAGCACCTACAGCATGCGAAAAATAGCCGACCTAGCGTCGTGCCCACGAGGTACTCCACTGACAGCCCGCTTGTGCGTGAGCGGCGCGCGGAACGGTATATCTGCATCATCCACATGCTCGAGAAGAGCGAGCCGATGAAGAACAGCGGCAGCGACAGCGCAATGACGATGCGGAACACGACAATGAGCGATAGCGACAGCAAAGTCCCTGTAGGGAACGTGATCAGCATCCACGAATGAACGCAAATTCATGGTGCACATACAAAGTCGGGCTGCTGGATCAGTCCGGATATGAGTCCAGAGGAACTGCAGGAATGACGGTCGAGCGGGGAGGGTTGGCGTCACTGGGGCTACGGGCGGCGGGGCAGGAGGTGCAACTGGGCCATTCTCCCCATCCGCGGCTGGTCCATCTGCGGCCGCTGTCTGCTGTGGTGGAGTCGGCGGTGGCGGCAGCGGTATCGGAGCCGGTTGGGGAGTAGGAGCATCTTCTGGGGCTTGGATTTGACCGATCAGAACAGCCATTTGCTTCAACAGCCCTGTCAGATAGCTGCGTATTACAGAACCGAGATTTATGCTCACCGCCTCGTACACAAAGAGCAGACATGCCAAACCAGCCGGCGCGAGAACCGAGAGCGAAGGACGCCCCTCGGCTAGGATCCCGAGCGTGATGTGCTGCAATGCACAGTCAGAAGAGCAGCCCCGAAGATCCACAAGCAACTAACACCAATGAACGATATTGCGTCAATGAGACTCTGAATCAGGAAGGTGTACCGAGACACCCGAGAGAGGCCGATTGCAGAGCTACTCTGCGCTGCCTGCTTGCGGAAGAGCCCAAGGAGAAGAAGGTTGACCACGGTCGCAACACCAGAGTCTAGATGGAAACATTGAGCTAAGCGCCAGCAAAGCATAGGAAGTACATACACGTCGTGATCTTCCTATACAGCCTCTGGGATCTAGTCGGGTTGTAAGATACGTTTTGCCTATCAAACAAGAGTTCACGTACTGGACGCCGACTGTGTGCTTGATCTCGTAGAGGATGCTACAGTTCTGACTGAGCAGCACGCCGTCAAAAACCAGTTCAGGAGCGTTGACGGTGGTGATACCCGTCGGTTCGTCGATTTCGCTCTCGAGCTCGTCCATGAGGTCTTTCGGAACGTTGGTCTGCTCGAGCTGCGCGAATAGCTGGAAGGAGCACTTGGTCTTCGGGCTGTCGTCTGCTTCAGCCGAATCTTGCTCGAATAGCCCCGCGTCGATCTTCTCCTTCAGCTTTGATATACGCGTTGTCAGTTCGACTTCTACGGCACGCGAACTTTCATTCCTGAACCTCTCCGGAACGAGAGCGGGAAGAACACGTAAATCCACACCACGCCTAAAACGTCAGGAATGTCAGTACCAATACAATAAAGAAATGGAGGCATGCGCACCCTCCAGATTCGGCCAGAGCGTATACCGAGCCTGTCGACAAAACATGGATGCCTTCGAAGTCGAGCCTTAGCTCATCCGAGCTGTCCGGATCTGACAAGTCAAGTTTTCCCTGAGTCGAAGTAAATGAATGGCCCATTCAAACTTGATTTCGGGTTGGACGCACATGTATTACGGCAATATCTTCGTGCTTGTCACCACCGTGTTCGAATAGTATCAGCTTGTCGCCCACGCTGAGCGAGAGCTTGTTCGTTGCAGTCCAGTTCCAAGGTCCTAGAAGATCCGGTATCGCGCTGAGATTCACAGGAAGCAAGAACTGCTCTGATAGATGCCTCCAAGACGACGCGGCCTCTGAGGCGTTGAGTGCGGTAAGATTGTGCAGCTGTGTATCGCCATGCCAGAAGCCTGTCATGTTCGAGTAGTACGACCCCTGCTTCGGATCGATCTCAGAGCCAAACGGCAGGAACGCCTCGACCAACGGCATAGTGTTCGGATCCTCCACGGGCTGCATGGGCAAGGTCCACCGTAAGTTACAGCAATCTCGCGAGCAAGTGAAGACTAACGAGTGTAAAATTCGAAGCTGTCCCATTCAGCCAGGCACTGTAGTTGGATAACTGATAGTTCAATGACTGTAGGCCGTTGAGGTACTGATCCCGTGTCAAGGACAGCTCGTCTCCGCGGCCGCTTGTGAGCATGAATAGAACGAAGGTTATGAAAAGGAACGACGGCAGTGAGCTCCGCTGTTGCCGCGGGACTTCCGGTGTTCCATTCTCCAAATCCTGTGGCTCGTTGTTTGGCGTGCTCATAGCGGCCACTGGTGACCTGGACGGGCAGACAGTCTCCGGCTCTTGAACGTGGCGGTATGGGTGAGAGTGGGGTAAGTGCAGTGGCGGTGCATGAGCTACGGCCTCGCAGTAAGTGGGCGTTAGTGTCCCACGTGGCGCCATCTGTAGTCCACCGAGACATTTTCGAGGCGTATGAAGTCAAAACTTCGACACAACATGATCTGACAGGATGTAGCGAATATATTTTGAAAGGCATGGATATGTGTGCAAAAAGATCAAGTTCAAAACCCCTGCTATCTGCCATATTTGCACATCACCTCAAGGCCTGGTGGTCTAGTAGTATGATTCCTTCTTAGGGCGATTCGCAATCTGGAGGAGGTCCCGGGTTCAATTCCCGGCCAGGCCCTTTTGCTTCGCTTCACTAGCATTCCCCTCGCTCGCCAGGGTTCGAACGATTCGCAAAGCCGGCACATTGACCATACATTTTTTCTTCATTCGTGCCATTCAGCATGATAAACAGGGTACAAGATTCGCTCAGCATTAGTTCGGCTGCTCAAGGCCCAGCTGTATCAAGAACTCGTTCGCCTCCTTCCGGAACGTGTCTGGAATGACCGCAAGAGACTCCTTCCCGTTAGCAAACACGAGCAGTTGCGGCGACTCTGCAGTGTAGGCGGGCCAGTGCACTCCTTCGCCGCCGTTCGGGTCGAGCGTATCCACGAAACGGACGAGGAAGTCAGTCATATCTCCGCCGCCGAACACGTTTGCGAGTTCGGTGGTGTGCGTCTGTCATGAAGATGAACTCGGTATCGATCGTGCATGCAAAACGATGAGAGGACGTACTGCGCCCATGCCCGTGATTTGGTTGCGCTCGCTCACTAATCCGGACCGTTATATGTAAACACGATGTATGAGCCTGGACAAGCTGGCACTCACGGAACGACCTCATGACCTGCTTCCCAGAGCGCTGCTGAAGGAGCAAGCGACGCGGCGCACCAAACCGGGAATCACCCTGGAAGGCTGAGATGCGCTTATACTGGGGAGAGAACGCGAAAGCGTCCCCGGTGTCGAAGGGAGCGCCGAACGCGGGGTTGGCGGGGTACAAGTCGAGCAACCGCGTAATGTTCTCCTTGGGCGCGTTCGGGAAGAAATTGCTGCTGAGGTACGTAGCCACTTCGTCCTGTGTACTGCACAATGAAAGTAGTCAGATTGCGAACGTCTCGGTTTGAGGAAAAGAATACTGACGTGAGGTTGAGGGACGCAAGAGAGAAGAGTGTCCCTTCGTCCTTGTTTGATCCTTGATGGGAGAAGGTCAGTCCTTGCAAGGAGTTCACCGACGTTTGCGACGCAGCGCACTCACCGATTACAAACGGTATATCCGCAATCTTGCCTTCTAACAAGAGGCGTTGCGGGTTATCTACGAGGAACAGTCCGTCTGCGCGCGGCGCCCATGGCGTACCCTACGCACATGCGTCAGTCGAGGACATCGAAAGGGCGATGCACGATGTAGACCTGGAAGGACACGTAGGTCGATGTCTTGTCCACAGCCGCTTGGATGACGCTCGTTGGAACTTCCCGCAGACATTCCAGGATGTCGATCTCGTCTGCACAGCCGGTCTCCGATGCTATGAAGTCGAAGTGGGGCTGGACATTCGAGACATTGCCCGCTGGATTGACGGAACCTGACTCCATCCATCCCGCGCGGAACAGGCCCTCGGTGTTGCCCCCGTTCACGAGCATGTGGAACGCGACAGACTCGCTCCCTGCGCTCTCTCCCCAGCTGCGACAGACGATTCGGTGTGAGCGCTACATTACAGCTAAGTAATGGACTGAACGTACATTGTCACTTTTGTCGGGTCACCGCCAAAAGCACCGATGTGTTTTTGGATCCAACGAAGAGATTCGCGCTCTGTGAAATGCCACTCGTTAGGCGACAGCGCGCGTCGAGTTATGGCGTAGATCGACTCACGGTCCTGCAGTCCGAGATTACCAAGGCCCGCGTTCGCTATCTCGCGCCCTCCCAGGAAGCCCAAAGCTGCACTTAGTGAGCGCAACTCGCATCTTGCGATGCCGATACTTACCACTCAACCTATAATGACAAGTATTATTTCGCGTGTTCTAGCAATCTAAGAGGTAGACGCACCGGTAATTCATCGATACATAAATGACGGGGTGTCCAATTTCTAACGAGCGTTTCACGACAACCTGCCCCGGACGTCTATGGAAACGTGGTAAGCTCAGAGTCACCCGGGGTCTATCATACTCAAGTCATTACAAACACGTACACAGCGTTGGAGCCAATCTGAAATCCACCTGCGAGAACATCAGCGAGACTGAAAGCTACACGTAAGAGTGTTTCTTGCCTCCGAAGATCCACTGTTCATAATCAGTTCATAAGTATGTGTTGATAGTTAAGGGAGGAGGTGAGACGTACCACAGCGACAGGGAGCTTATCCCCAGGCTTCGTGCCCGCAGGCACGATGACGTTGAGGTTCAGGCCTGCATCTCATCAGCTTCGAGACTCTGAACGTATCTCGTACTACAGCACTCACAATCCTCGCTCTGGGGTACTGGAGGAGGTACCCCCATAGCCGCCACGAAAGGCGCAATCTCCGGCGGGAGCACGGTGGTGTTCGGGAAGACCGCGGGCGGCATAGTCTGCTGCAAACACTGGTTGCCGAATGTCGTCGCATTGACGACTCCGCTGTATCTGCGAATAGGCTGCGGGAGCTGCAGTCGCAGTTTCCCGACGCTATCGAAAACACCATGGTCAGCACCGTCATAACGTTGAGGGCACACGCCGACGTACGGAGGTTCAGCGAACGGGATACCAAGGAACTGGGTGACAGAACCATCGCTCGTCCCAATGACCGTCGCGCCATTAAGCTTCACGGTCGGCAAGTTGGTGGCCGCGCCGGCGACCACAGCAGCATACAGCAAGAGAATGAGCAGCATCGCGGAATACCGCTCAGTATACAACCGCAACATTTCGCGCGTCGACCAGCTTGCGTTATATGCAGGTCGCGCGGGAAATTTGCAAGGTCATCCTGAGTGTTGACTTCGCTCTACGGCGGCCGTTGGAAGGAATCTGTACTATAAATGGTGATCAATGATCAGCCCGGGCTCTTCACGCAGTGCACGGGGTCGAGCTGAAGTACCTTCTTCTTCTTCGATAGGATACGCACCGCGCGGACGCCCGTAAGAGAAGGCTAATATCACTGCAGTCAGGAAGAAAACAGCTAGCGCAAGGGCGATCAGCAGGTCCCCAAAGTCGATATTGACTCCTCTCAGCCAATCACTTGCGAACGGCATCTTGCGATGCTCGATAAACGCGATTCAGTCGAGAGGACGTTCTTCGTAGACGGTATGCGGATGGCGCGCGGCTGAAGGGGGTGCGGGAGGAGAAGAGCTGCTGAAGGTCAGGAGCGCGGATCGGGATTGGCGAATCCCGTCGAGTATATATTTGACGCTCACAGTGGGAACATCGACGGCTAGCGGGCCATCATGCATCATGCGCCAGGGTCGAAGCACGACGAACGTCTAGGCAGCAGACACTTGCAAGCTAAGGTGGGTAACAGGCGTAAGTACTAAGGATGAGAAGAGAGCAGATACAAAGGGACAAGGGGCATATGAGGCATACGCATACTACATCACAATAAATCCGCAGCCAGACTACAGGATTGGCTCAACATCAGTCGGGCTGCTCGAAGCTCAGCTGTACCAGAAACTCGTTCGCCTCCTTCCGGAACGTGTCTGGAATGATCTTTAGAGACTTCTTGCCATTGGCGAAGAGGAGAAGTTGCGGCGACTCGGCGGTGTAGGCGGGCCAATGAAGCTCTTGGCCGCCGTTCGGGTCGAGGGTGTGCACAAAGCGGACGAGGAAATCGGTCATGTCTCCCCCGAAGAAAACGTTCGCGAGTTCGGTGGTGTGCGTCTGGTAGTGAAGTGATTTCTATGTCAAGCTCATATGAACCACGATAAGAGGACATACCGCGCCCATTCCCGTGACTTGGTTGCGCTCGCTCACTGATGCGGCCGGTCGTTTATGAGCACGAGATATATCTGCTCAAGCAAGCTCGCACTCACGGAACGACCTCATGACTTGCTTCCCAGAGCGCTGTTGGAGGAGCAGGCGACGCGCCGCCTGGAAGAGGAAATCGCCATGGAAGGCTGAGAGACGTTTGTACTGGGGCGAGAACGCGAACGCGTCCCCGGTTCCAAAGGGAGAACCAAGCGCGGGGTTGGAGGGGTACAGATCGAGCAACCGCGTGATATTCTCCTTCGGCGCATTCGGAAAGTAGTTGCTGCTGAGGTACGCTCCCACTTCGTTTGAAGTACTGCACGATATGGGTGATCAGCTTTCGTACGTCATTGCATGATGAGTATACTGACGTGAGATTGAGCGAGGCAAGGGAGAAGAGCGTCCCTTCGTCTTTACAGGAGCCTAGAATATGCAATATGAGCTTGCATAAGCGAACTCCGAGCTCAGCAGACAATTACTGACCGATTACGAAAGGTATGTTGGCGATTTTGCCTTCCAACAAAAGGCGCTGGGGGTTATCCACCAAGAACAGTCCGTCCGCGTGCGGCATCCATGGCGTATCGAGAGCCTGCGAGAGCGTGTCAGCCGAGGGCATCGAATCTGAGATGAACAAAGTAGACCTGGAAGGACAAGAATGTCGCCGTCTTGTCCATGGCGGCTTGAATGACACTCGCGGGGACCTCGCGAAGGCACTCCAGAATGTCTATCTCGTCAGCGCAGCCGGTTTCGGACGCGATGAAATCGAAGTTGGGCTGGATCTTCGAGACGTTGCCCGCCGGGGAGATCGAACCCGACTCCATCCACCCTGCGCGGAACAGGCCCTCGGTGTTCCCGCCGTTCGTGAGCATATGGAATGCGACGGACTGGCTTCCGGCGCTCTCCCCCCAGCTGCGACGGAAGAGGGGGCGTGAACACCACGGTGTAGTCGGGCAAGGACGACTCGACTTACATTGTCACTTTCGTCGGATCGCCGCCGAAAGCACCGATGTGCTCCTGAATCCAACGAAGAGATTCGCGTTCTATAAGACCACGTTTGTCAGTGCATAATGCGCGTCCAGTCAAACACTGCTCGACTCACGGTCCTGGAGCCCAAGATTGCCGAGGCCTGCGTTCGCTATCTCACGCCCTCCCAAGAAGCCGAAAGCTGAACCCATAGTGAGCGCAACTCGCGCCTTGCGATGCGGATACTTACCGCTCAACCTGAATTGCAGAATTAGTCTGCGTATCCGAGAAATCAGAGAGGTAGACTCACCGGTAGTTCATCGAGACGTAAATGACAGGGTGTCCAATCTCGATCGAGCGATTTACGACGTTTTGCCCTGGACGTCTGAGGAAGCATAGTGAGCTCATAATCTGCGATAGCCGGTCGTTGCAGGAACATACACTGCGTTGGAGCCAATCTGAAATCCGCCTGTAGGAACATTAGCCAAATGAAAGCTGCACGTAAGAGGGTTTCTCGCCTCCGAAGATCCACTAATGTAGTCAAATAAAGTCAGCGCCCGGATAACTAGCAGCGGCAAGGAGCGGAAGTAGACGTACAACAGCGACAGGGAGCTTGTCCCCAGGCTTCGTACCTGCAGGGACGATGATGTTGAGGTTCAGGCCTGCCAGTGCACGTAGTTAGCGCCTGGTTTCCGGCCGTGTCGTGCACATCACTTACAGTCCTCGCTCTGGGGTACCGGCGGGGGCACAGCCATGGCCGCTATGAAAGGAGTAATCGCCGCCGGGAGCGCAGTGGTATTTGGGAACACCGCGGGCGGGATGGTCTGCTGCAGACACTGGTTTCCGAACGTCGTCGCGTTGATGACACCGCTGTATCTGCGCATGGGCTGGGGGAGCTGCAGTCGCAGTTTCCCGACGCTGTCGGGAATATTGTCATCAACATCGTCGTGTAAGTAAGAGCGTATACATAGACGTACGGGGGTTGGGCGAAGGGGATGCCTAGGAACTGCGTGACGGTGCCGTCGCTCGTCCCGACAACTGTTGCGCCATCGAGCTTCACAGTCGCCGATTTGATAGCTGCGCCGGCGACCGCAGCAGCATACAGTAATATGGTGAGCAGCATCGCGGGAGTGGAGAGTGCAACACAATGTCGACTACAGCGCACCGGGCCTCGACTAGCGTGGCTTATATGCCGACGGCGCGAGAAGCGTGGAGGGTCATCTTGAGTGCTGACTTCATGCTAACGCTTCGCACTGGCCGCCGTTGGAATGAGTCTGCGCTACGTACGGTAAACATCGGTCAGCTCGGCCTCTTCACTCAGCGCACGAGGTCGAACTGACATACCTTCTACCTCTTCGATGGGATGTGCGGTGCGCGGATACTCGTAAACGAAGCACATGAGTTATTGGAGTCGCGAAAGGAAGCGCGAGTGCGAGGCTGGTCAGCGGGCCCGCGAAGTCGATATTGGCTCACCTCGGCCAATTACTTGGGGACGGCGTCTTGCGATGCTTGATTCAAAGCGATACTGCCGAAAGGAAGTTCTTTGCAGTGTATGCAGATGGTGCGCGGTTGGAGGCGGTGCGGGGGGAGAAGAGATGTCGAAGGTCAGCAGCTCCTCACGGATCGGGACTGGGGAATTCCGTTGTGTGTATATTTGACGCTCATGGGAACATCAACGGCCCAACGGGCCACGGATATCCAAGAGCGAGGACCGTCTGCGTAGCAAACAGAAGGTTAAGTGACTTTCAGCATACGCATCATATTCCGATACACAGCGTTTCTCCGGTCTAAGACTTGATAAGGTCTGCGGCACCCGCCCACCTAGGCTCTACAACACATTCGAAGTCCTTCGGGTGGCTGCAGTCGATTCTCAGCTATCGTACGTGCGTCGTGCATCGTCTAGATAGACCACTCACGATATGACAGAGTCGACGTCGAAATTGGCTTCGAGTTGCACCGGGCGTCCACCGTCGTCCAAAGGTGGTGAGATGCTAAATACGTGTAGCGTCTGCGCACAGGTGAGAAACAGCGTAGAGTCCGCGAGATAGCGGCCCGGGCAGATCCTGATCATACGTCAGCCCTGCGCATAAGCTCGACAAAAAGTGGCAGACCTTCTGCCAAACCCGAAAATGTATGCGTATGGGTCCCGATTGCCGGGGGAGAACTGGCCGTCTTTTATGTAACGGTCCGGGTTGAAAGCCTCTGGGTCTGGGTATACGTCTGGGTCGCGGGAGAATGCCCTAGCGTACTCGGTCAGATCAACCAATGCAGCGTAGGACGTGTATCTTACCAGACGTTTGGCATAACGATGCATCCCTTGGGTATGTAGTACCCGTTGTACTCTTCGTCTTCAAGAACGGCGTGAGGCAGCGCCAGGGGTGCGACGATGTTCCAGCGGGTGAGCTCCCGCACGACCGCGTTGATATACGGCAAGTTGTCGCGATCGTTGAAATCGGGAAGGCGTGTGCGCCCGACGCCCCGATCGAGTTCGTCTTGCGCCTTCTTCTGAACATCTGGGTACATTGCCATCGCGAGGAAGAAGGCTTTCAAGGAGGCTACGGTCTGTGGACACGGTCAGCGCAGGAAAGTATAGCACATGAACCCAAGGCGGGCGTAAATGATTGGGAACCGTTGACGGATACTTACAGTGTCTGAGCCGGCTGTGTCAGGGACCGATAAGTGATATTTCCCTACCAATAACGACACCAGACTCACCCATGTATGTCCCTATCAGTGCGCCTGTAGATTGCTCTTCTTCGTCTGCAGCGGCATCGGCTTCAAGTGTTGCGATGCGCCGCAGCATCATAGAAAGCATGGTTTCGTCGGTGGACTCAGCATCCTAGAAAGGGGCGGACATGGTCAAGCGGGAGCTGGTATTTGTTCAGAGCACCTACCAAGCACTTCTTCCCATCCTCGTATAGCGTCCGCCTCGCATCAAGGACTTTCTCCCGAACGGTGCTCGCGTCTCGCTTGAACCCCGCACCGGGGAACCATCCCGGCAAGTTTTGTAAAACGGGAAAAAGCTCTACTAGATACTTCCCAGGGACCACAACGGCCTCGACGATCTTGAGCGTGTGATGCAACATATTCCCGTAATACTCGTCGTCTCTGGGTATCTTGATGCCATATCCGATGCTCAAGATAGACGCCACGAGCACACTTGTAATGAGAAACCGTCAGCAGTGCGGAGTACAGTCCCGCAGACAACCACTCACTGACTGGTATGGCGCGAGAATGCCTTGGGCTTCTCCAGCAAGTTTAGGAGGAGGTCGGGTGTGACTTGTCGGATATTGGGGAGAAAGTGAGTGTTCACGGAGGTGGGTTGCAGGGTCTGGCGGAAGATTCGCCGGTGGTGTCTCCATCGTTGCCCGTACTTGATCAGCGGCAGGTTGAAAGTCGATAATGATGTTCTGTAGAAGTCCCGAGGCTCGGGTGAGTGATGCAGCCGATTTTGGACCAGGAAATGACATACAAGCTCAACATGACGGAGTCGGGTCTGTCGGAGTAATTCCTGGACCTCTTGTCCAGAAGTTCGCATGCTACATCGTAGGAGTCGATCACGATGATAGAGCGGCCCAGTATGTTGAAATAAACCATCGGTCCTGTAAAATCGCATAATTAAGAATGTGCGACCATGATACAGATTAGTGGTAAGCACGGACCATATCGCTTCGCAAAGTCGTGGAATCTGCGCGCAATGTTCGACGTCGGGAAGTCGAAAGCATTGCCGATAAGCGGCATCCCAGGCGGACCGGGCGGGAAAGGGAGCCCTAGTTTACGCCGGCGCAGAATGATATAGCATACCAGGAAAAACGTTGCGCAGAGCCAGATGATCATGGTGAGTGGAGTTGAACCTTAAAGAGCAAGGACGGGCGCGCGGCCCTCTGACCGTCGTAGTTATGTATACGCTCGTAAACGCCAGGAATCTGTGTCTGTTCTGATGGGGCAAATGTGGCCCCGCGCAGCGCACCATGTTACCTGTCGAGAAAACACTGTATGGCATGGTGAAATTGGGTACGCTTATCGCGAGCTTACTGCGTCGATCCTGCGCGATGCGCGGTGGAGATGAGTCAAATGACCCCGACTGCTGGTGAATGAGCGCTGCCTGTTGGCATTGATTTAAAACGACAGCATGCCGATACGTCGACACCGACGATACGCTCAGGCCATTGCGTACACCGCGGGCCACGGTCACCGCCCAGAGCTACCCAGAGCGACGGATGTGTGGTGCTATCTATTTTCCCCTCCGGTTAGCGACCCGGCCTTCGAAGACGAAAGAGAACATCCCTGCTTACCTTTAAATAACATTTCAGTTGAGAACAGCATGCTATATGTGCATCAGACTAGTGCAATGGATCAAGCTTGCCAGTGTCTTCGTTGAAAATGTGGTACTATACGCGACCAGTGCTTTGCGGACTGCTTGGTCGCGATTACGAGACTCTGGGCCTGGCCCGAGTATTGAGTGAGATTTTTTCGTGTACAAGCCTGCGCACTGCGCGTTTAGAAACGTCGACATGGAGGCTCATGGAGGGGAGGGATGGGAGCTGGAACGTTTTGTAGGCCCATCTCGTAAGAAGTACTGTCGAGGTTGCCCCGTGGGAACATGGTTCCCACGGTGATCATACATAAATGCATAAACGCTTGTGTGGGCCCAACTCTCGTCTACTACACGTATGTTTGGAATACTTTCTCAACTCTGCTGTCCCGCGAATGCTACACTTAGAGCTTCAGGATTTAAGAGCCTGCCGTTGCATATGGTCAAGTGCGGTAGCACCGTACTCCGCTCACACTTCCCACAGAGACCATATCATGCTTTCAGAATCATCGGCCCTTCGCCCCACATATCAACTGCGCGAACGTCACCTGTTGCGCTCAGGAGGTATAGCGACAGGTGTCTCCTCCGTTCGGGTAACCTCACGGCGTTTTTGTCGAGTGCTTCTGCTATTGGGTGAGTCTTTTTCTTCATAAGTTTGTAACGCGGCGTGCGCCTCGCCGCACGACCGCGCGACGCTGTGCTAACGTCTTGCACAGTTCATCTCTGCGAGCAGCAACAGTTTCAAGTCAGACTCGGCGCTGGCTTAACTCGCCGGAGAAGGATGAGGGTGGGCTCACGCGTACCCATCGAATCTTGTCCACATGATGCGCACCTGGGCAGGGAATATATTGTTAAGAAAGGCCTGATCAGGTACGGGAAAGGCTCAATTCACTTCGAACACTTCTGGAGACGTCATCTGTAACTTGAGTCCGAGCCGCACCATCTTCCACTCCCGAAGATGCGGCATGCTACTCACTGCCTACCAACGACAGATGCGAGATGTAACCTTATAAACAGATACGTCTCCGTCGCTTAGACTCCATTGTATATAAGACCTAGAACTCGTGAACGCCTGCACCGCTGCAGATTCCTCCCATCGACATACCAGCGACATGAGATTCTGCACGGCAGTCGTATTAGCGGCGACACTTCTCAGCAGCGTCATTGCTCAGGACCCAACGGTCCCTGCCATCCCAACGGGCACACCGATCCCTGGGATCTATAATGGCACATACAGGCCGCAGGTCCACTTCTCGCCCCCTCAGGTAAGTCAATCTGCCGCGACGTATATACGATGCGCCGCTGACTCGCGTCCTAGCATTATATGAACGACCCGAATGGGCTGTTCTTGGATGCCAACGGAACCTACCATCTGTACTACCAGTGTAAGATTTGTCTTCTCCATAACGGTGTCCCGCCGTCTGACGAAAACCACAGATAACCCTACAGCGAACACCGCGGGGGACCAGCACTGGGGACATGCTACGAGCCGGGATCTCTACCACTGGATCAACCAGCCCATTGCGATCTTTCCACCGACCAATGACACGCAAGTCTTTACTGGGTCTGCCGTCGTCGACGTCAACAACACATCAGGCTTCTTCCCCGATCAGGACAACGGCGTCGTTGCGATCTATACTCTGAACACGCCCACAGGACAAGTTCAAGATATCTCGTACTCCGTCGACGGAGGGTACACCTTCACCGCTTTCTCTGGGAACCCCGTCCTCACCAGCACGTCGACGCAATTCCGCGACCCGAAGGTGATCTGGTTCGAGGACCATTAGGTGATGATAGTCTCGTTCGCTGCGGACCTAACGCTCGGCTTCTACACGTCTCCGGACCTCAAGACGTGGTCGAGCGCGTCCAACTTCACTTATCCCAACTCCGTCAACCAATTCGAATGCCCCAACATCGTGAAGATGCCAGTGCAGGGCAGCAATGACAGCATGTACGTGCTGTCCACCAGCATCAGCTCCGGCGGGCCCGCCGGAGGCGGAGCCATCATATACTTCCCCGGCACGTTCAACGGCTCGCACTTCACCGCGGTCGACGACACCCCGCGCTTCATCGACTTCGGGGCAGATAGCTACGCGGGCCAGTTCTTCTCTGGGATCCCGGACGGCGACGATGCGCTGTTCATCGCGTGGGCTACCAACGGGCAGTACTCGCAGGACACGCCGACCGCCCAGGAGGGCTGGCGCAGTACGATGTCGCTCCCGCGCCGCAACCGCCTCGCGCCAAACGCCACGAGCGGTGGCTACGACCTGATCACGGTCCCCCAAGACCTTTCCCCCGTGCTCGGCGAGCAGCTAGCCTCGATGGCCGACCTCGCGAACGGCACGTTCTTCGTCGACTACAGCGCGGTCGCCTCCAACGTGATCTACTTCGAGGCCAACGTCACTGGCGTCTCAGGCGCAAGCGACACCTCGACGCTTAACTTCACGATTCAGAGCCCCATCTCGGGCGAGTCGGTGCGCGGCCGGTACTCGTTCGGGGGCAACAACACGTTCGTCGTCGACCGCAGCGGCGTGCACGGGTTCAACAACACGGCCTTCACGGGCACGCCGTTCACGACGACGAGCGCGGTGCGCGCGGACGGGACGTGGACGCTGGCGGGCGTGGTCGACCGGAGCATCCTCGAGGTGTTCGTGGGCAGCGGTGTGGCGAGCGCGACGGCTCTGTTCTTCGCAACGCAGCCGCTGACGGTGTTCACACTTTCTACGGCGCAGCTCCCGGCGAACGCATCAGTAAGTGTGGCGGTATATGCGGTCCGCAGCGCGTGGAAGGTGGAGGAGAACGGGGAGGGGGTTGTGGTGGGCAATGTCACGACTATCGCGTCCCGAGACGAGTTGTAAGGTGTGCAGAAGATTGGCCCCGTATCACTGCCCATATCTTGAACTCTGCAGAGAACTGTAACATATCCGAATGTAGCTTGGATATACACAACATGAATCAGACATCATCCCATCCAGCATTTGTTTTCCCGGTCGTTTTTACGACTTGATGAGGTCTGCAACACTCGCCCATCGGGGCTCCACCACACACTCAAACTCCTTCAGGTGCCTACAACGGCTGCTATCAGGCAACGGTATCAACGACATAGAAGAGAGCTGCTTACGCGATGGCGCGGTCAGTCACCACTTTGGCTTCGAGCTTCATCGAGGCCCCATCATTGTCCAACGGCGGCGATATGTTGAATGCGTGCAACGTCGACGCGCAAGTTATGAATAGCGCCGCGTCTGCATAATGACGGCCGGTGCAAATTCTATCCACTAAGTCAGAACAGAGTTGTAGCATCTCCGCTTTATGAGCATAGCGTACCGCCGTCCAAATCCGAAGATGTACGAAGATGGGTCCAGAGCACCTGGAGTGAACTCGCCGTCTTTTAGAAAGCGGGCCGGGTTGAACATCTCCGGATCAGGATATACGTCGGGGTCGCGCGAAATTGCCCTAACACGACCATTTAGTGCTACCCCTATTCGTAAACAAGTGGTTCCTCTTACCAGGCATTGACGATGACAACTGACCCTTTCGGAATGTAGTGACCGTTGTACTCATCATCCTCGAGCGCAGCATGCGGAACCCCCATGGGCGCGACGACGTGCCAGCGGGTGAGTTCTTTCACGACCGCGTTGATGTATGGGAGGCTGTCGCGATCGTCGAAGTCTGGAAGGCGCGTCCGGCCGATAATCCTATCAAGTTCAGCTTGCGCCTGCCTCTGGACGTCGGGATACATCGCCATTGCGAGGAAGAATGCTCGCAAGGACACCACAGTCTGTAATTGTAGTTTGACAGTCAGCATGAGACTTGAAATAGCGGCGCGGACGCCAAAGGACTATGTGATGAGGTTGCCACTCACAGTCTCCGAGCCACCTGCATCGGGAAAAATATGTTTAGTATCCCTTCGTGCCTACAAGTCGCCATGAGATAGGATCTGAACTCGCCTATGTACGTCTCAATGAGCGCACTTGCGGATTGCTCTTCTTCCTCTGCAGCGGCGTCACCTTCAAGTGTCGTGATTCGCTGTAACATCATAGCAAGCATGCTGGCGCCAGTGGGCTTGGTGTGCTGGAATAGGGTGGTCGTGACCCTTGGTCCAGAGCCAGTCAATATGGCCAGTCATCGAAAGATTCATACCAGAAGATTCTTCCCCTCCTCGTAGAGCGTCTTCCTAGCCTCCAGGACCTTCTCTCGAACAGCCCTCGCGTCCTTCTTGAAGCCCGCACCTGGAAACCATGCTGGCAGGTGCTGCAATGCGGGAAACAGCTCAACTAGATACTTTCCAGGGGCCACAACATCTTCTATGAGCTCGGCTGTTTGCTGTAGCATATTCCCGTAGTGCTGGTCATCTCTGGATATATTGATGCCATATCCGATGCTCAGTACGGACGCTAAAAAGCACTTGTCGCAGTATTTCGTTAGCAGGCCCGAACAAGTAATCTACCGTACTATGATGACTCACTGATTGGCATGACGTGAGAAAGCTTTGGGCTTCTCCAATAAGTTCAAGAGGAGGTCATGCGTGACTTGTCGGATTCCGGGGCGATAGCGAGTGTTCACCAAAGGGAGTCGCAGGGTCTGATGAAAGATTCGCCGGCGGTGTTTCAAGCTTTGCCCGTACGGCATTATCGGCAGGAAATCCGATAGCAGCGCTCTGCAATAGCCCCATGCATACTCGTGTTGATGAAGTTGCGACTGAGGTAGTAAAGCCAGCACGTACAATCTAGTCATGATCGAGTCGGGCCTGCCGGCATAGCTCTTCGATTTCTTGTTAAGTAGCGCGCACGCAACGTCGTACGAATCTACTATTATGATAGAGCGGCCCAGTATGCTCAAGTAAACAAGTGGGCCTCAGGTAGAAACATATGTCAGCACGGACACTTAGCAGTAAGGCAGGAAGTACATACCATATTGCTTCGCGAGGTTGTGAAGACCACTTGGGATATTCGATGTCGGGAAGTCGAGAGCATTCCCGATAAGTGGAAACCCACGGGGACCGGGAGGAAGAGGGAGCCTCCTAGACCCACGTCGGCGCAGGATGACTCGGGTAGAGTACACCAAAAAAAATGCCATGCAAAGCCAGACAATCATGGGGTGAGAGAGTAGAGAGTTGGATCGTTTGCTAGACAGGCCCAGCCTCTATATCCATATATCTGTTCCTCACATGGGCGGTGCAGGGTCAGATGACACTACATTCTAGTATGGGAGCGCCGCCATTATAAACATTCAAGATGACAGGAAGCACTCAGGCGGCCTACACTGACATAACGAAACGCCAACGGTCCACCTCGAGGCCAAGAGAGCTCAGAGAGAGTTACCTGAGATACTCAGCTGACAGCGACCGCTAGCAAATGTGGACTTGCAATGCCCCACGCATCATGATGCCTGACAGCGTCAACGGTCGACGTTGACATTTGAATGCAGCTTACGCACCTTCAGACTTCAGTCGCACGTAATTTCGACATGCACGCCCGCCCGCACGAAGCGCGCCAGCATAGGAAGCACGAGATCAACCCTCTCCGCCTCCTGCCGCCCGCGTTGCTCTTCCATCCCCACTTCTCCCAGCATCAGCATGACTGTACCGAGGAACGACGTGCGCACATGCAGATGGGCGAAACGCGGGTACCGCCTCGCCACCGTTTCGCCCCGCGCGCCCTTTGACTCGTCGTCAGTGGTCCCAACGAGAACCTTCGCCAGACGCGCGAACGCGGCTTCGAAGCCGACGAGCCACCCGGTCGGGCTGTCGAACACGAGAGATAGGGTTTCGAGGAGCGGGAGCGGGGTGGGGCCGCCCGCGGACAACACGTCTGCGAGGTGCTCGATGAAGAACGGTGTTGGCGTATAGGGTTGAGGCGTCCCGAGCACCCTCTGTCGGACCGTGTTCCCCAGATATGCGATGCGTCGGTCGTACCGGAGGTACAGCGATGTCAGAGAGCTGCAGCGTGGCAAGTCTGATATGACGCGTTGCATGTGTTCGCCTAGGAGAGGGAAATTAGCTTCTTGAGCGCTCGAGGGGGGATGCAGCGGAGAGACGCTGACAAGACTTACGACCTTGGACAGATATGCCGTCATAGTGGAGGTCACTGAGCGTGATCCCGAAATGGCGCAGTGACGGCACAAAGCGAGGGACTTCGGGAAGGACAGCATCCACTCCAGGGCCAGTGGGCAGCATGGCGCAGCAGAAGTCGATCCAGTCCAGCTTCGGCATGAAGCTCCTGGACCGTTCCAGAAACAGCGCCAGCTGTGTTACCTCCTCGCCATTTATCGATCCCCCGATGAGTGACAGCGTGCGCAACGCCCATGGCGATGGGGGTTGACCGCCTACTGCGACAGGTTCCAGCACAGGCTGTTCGGGCCACGCAGGCACGCGCCGGCTGAGCCAGTTGTCTCCTCCTAGGCTGACGCTGTGAAGGCAGAGCGTTTCGAGCGCGGGCAGATCGCGGAGGAGAATCATTATATCGTAAAGGGATGGTATGACTAGAAAGTGGAGACGCAGCGAGAGGAGTGCGGGGAGGCGTGCGCTGAGGGCATCCAAGGCCGCCCTGTTGAAAGACACCTCGCCATGGCTGCACCCGGCGTTTTCGGGGCGCAAGCCCAGTGAGCGCACGTAGAGCGCGATCGCGGAGTCGCAGTCGAGGAGGTCCAAGAAAGTTTCGGTGCGCGTACTGTGCGAGCCGTCTGATTTCACGGGCAGCACGATCTCGTGCCAAAGGTGGACGCGTGAGATGGGCAGCAGCGCGTGGCAGGTGAGTGAGCAGGCCGCGAGCGAGGGTATATCTCCGCGGAGGAAACTGATCGTATGCTCGATGGTCTCGACGGGGACGGGAGACGACATGGCGGGCGGAAACGAGCGTTGCGGTGGACTTGCGGCGGAGGTGCGCCTATATAAGAGGTCCACGATCCATGGGCAGTAGTGAGCGTTCTCCTTCCGTCCCACACGCGGCCACAGGAACCAGGTTCGGGGGCTGCGCTGCGCGGGGGAAGACGTGCGCCGTGTTGCTTCCGCGTCAATGGCCCACACAAGGTAGTGCAGATTCTTGACAGCACCAGAACCGTGACCGGGTAGCGACATTCGTTGTCCTTCTTTGGACTACTGCCGTCTCGGCCATGCTCATCTGATTCGCAAGGTTCAGCAACGACTACGGAAGCTCAGTGCAATGAAAAGCATGTAGACTCGCCTGGTAATTACTATAGTACTTTTGGGCGATTTCTTAGGACTCCTCAAGGCCAGAGCCGGACGCGGAGGTCGAAGACTCTCGCCAGCCAACTCGGTCTTCGCTCTGCGCGGTGTCGCCTGGTGTCGCCACCTCGACGTGCACGAAACACATGCAAACGGTGCTCGACGAGCTCAACGTCCCGTACAAGTTCGTGCACATCGACACGTCGAAGCGCGAGCACAAGTCCCTCGCGTTCTCCGCGGTGCAGCCGTTCGGGCACGTCCCGTACATCTACGATGATGGATTCAAGTTGTACGAGAGTCGGGCGATCGCGTGCTACCTCGCGCTCAAGTATGGATGCGTCGGGACGCTCATCCCGGACCCGGCAGACTTGCAGAAGACGGTACTGTTCGAACAGGCGGCCAGCATAGAAACAAAAAACTTCGACATGTATGCTTCGGGGCTTGCGGTCGAGAGCATCTTCAAAAAGTGAGTCCAGCGCGGGCACGTCGTGCGGTGGATTAGATATTGATCGTGGCGGTGGCTGGTATAGGATGTTCGGTGTTGAGCCCGACCTTGCACTGGTGCAGCGCCTGAAGACCGCGCTCGAGGGCAAGCTGGACGCGTATGATGTTACACTAGGCAAGACGAAGTATCTGGCGGGCGATGTGAGTAGCGATATCTGGACATAGTATCGAGACTCACACTGCAAGTTCTGTCGTCTAATATCAGGATGTCACCCTCGCCGACCTTCTCCACTTTCCCTACGGCGCACTGCTCGAGACGTAGGACATCAACTTCCTTGTTCCCGGCAGGTGGCCGAACGTCACCCAGTAAGCAAACTTTCACGCCATCCTTGCTGCGGCCTCCAGGATGTGACTGAACATGAATGAAGGATATCGCTTCCCGCATGTTGTGGGAGAAGATGAACATCCCCGCGTGAGCCAAGGAGAGAGTTGTAACGAAGTCTATTCATTACGCTGGAATTACACGCCCGGAATCGCGTTCAACTGCGCTACCACGGGGATGAGTTTGCGCACCTTATGTAGTAGAGAATGTCTGTCTTTTGAACCCGACGTCTCCGGTGGGCGATGACGCTTCCCATTTCTCCATGTTGATGATAGGTTCAGATGCGAAATAGTAGCTCACTTGTGGACGTCGTCTTAGATGAACTGCCCAGAATGTTTTGTAGGTCGTCTCAGAAGCGGCAGTAATTCTAAGTGCGTGATTGCGAGCAAAAGACAACGAGAAACAGCATAGTTTCCAAGTTTCGTAGAGAGTGTGAGAGGAAGAATCGGACAAGTTTGGGACAAGTGCTCCAGCTCTGCCAGACTCAGCCACAGCGGTTGTTTGCGTTTGTTATGCTGCAGCCTCAACTCTCCTTCCTGATCTGGACAATCCACACTGCGTCCATGATCTTCTTCGACAGCTCCCTGAGTCTCTGGACTGGCAGCGGTACTCTGTTATAACACTCACACGTTCTCAGGTTACTTATTACATACTTCTCTGCCCATCGTTATGAAGGTGCATTCAAATCGTTCCAACTCATAGAACCAATGTAAGTCTTCATTACGATCGTCATAATATTCTCAAAAGCTGAATACGGGCCAGGTAGCATTGAATGAAGTTCATCCATCATCCCATCGTCGTAGAAAGGCATCCTCCTGTCCCAACGGTTGTCTATCCCCATTATAGTTCTACTACGCTCCAATCTTCGCCGGGAACGGCTCCCACGACTGCTTGCTCTTCAGGTCGTCCGAGCACGGCGAAAGCGTGATCTGTGCAACCACGACATCAGCAATCCGAGATGAATCTCCGGGAACCCTGTTTGGAACGTACATCAACGCCTTTCGCAGCCCGCCCGAGGGTAACACAGTTCCCGTCCGCGTTCGACACCTGGCCCAAGACGATCCAGAGCTGCTTCGGGTCGTTGGAGTCGCAGTCCGCCATCTTTAGCACCTGCGTCGCCGTTCCGGGCTCTACACCATTTGCGCTGACGCAGAGGTCGCCGAGAGTGATCTGGGTCGGGGTGCCCGAGCCCTTAACGGGGGTGAGCGCGGTGATGTCGCTCGCGGAACCGTCGCCCGGGTTCGCCGCCTGGAGGGTGGCCCCGGCGACAGCAGATGAAGGCGCGAACAGGAGCGAAGGGTCTAAGTCATACGGTGAGCAACACGTATGCTAATACGTCTGTGGTTAGGCTCACTCTGAGTGGAGAAGAAGTGGGTGGCGACGCCGGGTGCGATGAGGTCCGCAGCAGCGCTGGAGGCAAGCGCGAGGGCGGTAGAAATGATGGCAACGAGAGCGAGCATTGTGGCGTTGAAGGAACTTGGTGAGTGGGTTGAGAGCTGAGTAGGTGCTGAGAGCTAGTGCTGACGACTACTTGCACAACCACAGGGGTTTATATACACTGTCGGCAGCGCAAGCCCTCCAGCACAACGAAACAGTTGACGGCTATGCAGGTTTCCACAGACCCGGACAGATTGTGCCAAGGATGCCATCAGAGATCGCCATCCTGCCGATTGGGCACTTCCAGTAGGCTATTGCATGCTGGACAGCAACTAGGTTAGTCGAGTACACCGGATTGATCACAGCCACGGCGTTGCACAGTGGCACGGTGTATGCCGCCCGTCCCTCCTCGTCTGGCTTGGAATTCGGCGTCTGTTCGCCGTGTCCGTGGCCGCTGGATTTGCGCTACGGCCTCGAGCCTCATCCGTGGAATCAAGTCTCAGAAGGGCGATATATTCAATGACCGATGCGACGTAGTGCCGGAAGTCAAGGCTCGGGTCGTGAGGCTCTATGTAGGTTTCAGCTGTCGGTGGTCTTGAGTGGGCTCAGCAGCTATATGTCAAATATTGAGACACTCCGAACGGGTTGTGATAACATTCAACCGCATAAAACCTCGACATGCACGCCCGCCCGCACGAAGCGTGCTAGCATAGGAACAATCAGACCCACTCTATCCGCCTCCTGCCGCTTGCGCTCCTCTTCAACACCCGCATCTCCAAAAATCACCTTGATCAGTGGGAGGCAAGAGGTCCGCACACGCAGGTGAGAGAACCGCGGGTACCTCTTCTCCCGACCTACTCCTCCCCGTGCGCCCTGCGACCCTTCAGCATCCCCGATGAGTGCATCCGCAAGGCGCGCAAACACGGTCTCGGAGCCGACGAGCCAAGCGGCTGGGCTCTCAAATATGAGAGTAAGCTTTTCGAGGAGCGGCAGCGGCGCTGGGCCAGGTGCGGACAGGACGTCTGCGAGGCGGTCGAGGAAGAAGGGTGTTGGCGTACTAGGTGGCTGGGGCGTCCCGGCAGCATGTTCGCGGGCCGCGTGGCCTAGATGTGCCGAGCGACAGTCGTACCGGAGGTATAACGACCGCAGGGCGCTGCATCGCGGTAAACCCGACATGACGCGTTCTACATGCTGGCCTGTGGATGACGGGCAGCAATTGTCAGCCGCGGTGTGTGGTGTGCGGGCGCGGGCGTGGAGACGCAGATGAGTGAGAGAACGTACGGCCTTCAGGGACAATACCCACACTGTCGAGGTCGCAGAGCAGGATCCCAAAGTGGCGCAGCGACGGTGCAAAGGACGGAATGCCGGGTGCGGCGGGACCACCTCTAGCTACGCTGGGAAGCACGGGACTGCAAAAGTTGAGTGTCTCCAGCCTTGGCAGAAGTTCCGCGTCCTTTGCCCATTCCAAGAAGTGCGCCAGCCGTGTGACCTCCGCACTACGTATTGTGGCACCTCCGGTGATGGACAGCTTGCGTAGTCCCCACACCGGCGGTGGCCCGCCCACCGGTCCTACAGTGGGAGTTTGGACATACTGTTGAAGCCATCCCAATTGCGAGCCCGCCCCTGCAGGGCTAACACGGTCCAGGTAGAGAGATTCGAGGTTGGGCAGATCGCGAATAAGTGGGATTACGTCGTAGAGATACTGAATTGACAGGCGGCGTAGACGTAGGGATCGGAGCACAGGAAGGCTTGTACAGAGCGTGATCAACGCCTCTCCATCGGAAGGCACGTTTTGGCTGCTTGATGGCTCTACTGGGAGAAAAACGAGAGAGTCCACGTAGGACGCGATGTCGGGGTTGCTTGTGATGACGTTCCTGAATGCTTCGGTGCGTAAGCTGTACGAGCCGTCAGACTGCACAGAAAGCTCGACCTTATGCCAAAGTTGCACGCGTGAGATGGGCAGCAATGCACGACAGGTGAGGGAGCAAGCAGCGAGCGAGGGGGTATCTCCACGCAGGAAACTGATCGCATGCTCGATGAGTTCGACTGGGATGGGAGGCGGCGGCATGGTGGGCGGAGACAGCGTTGGTTTGGCGCCTACATATGCTACTTAGGGTTCGATTCTTGAAATATCCGCAGTACAATTCCGATGTACAATATGTGAACAACATGTCTACACCCCGAAACACATCCCGAATGTCGCATACGGGTTCAATTTCAACGGCAAGTAATATCAACATGTACAATAGCTTGTACGAATTCCGCCAACATAGGCAGAACGATGTCCGTTCTCCCCGCCTCCTACCGCCTATACTACTCATCCATCGTCGTCGCTCCAGAAAAGGCCCCTACAATCGCGAGGCGGTAAGTGCGCACATGCAGGCAGGAGAGCGAAATTCGTCGGTCATATTTGGTCTGTCGACGTCTCCGCCCGGCCTACCTGGTCCACAAGGTTCAGCGATCATTTTATCGGAGTTTTACGGGAAGGAAGATGTACGTACGAGATTTGCTGTAATGACACAGTGACCACGCCAATCTATATAGTGCGCATCCGCTCAGCACCATACCTCCATAGAATATAGCATCAACGAAGTCACCTTCAATCACTCGAGCCTCCGACGCACCAGGCTGGGTGCCGCAGACGGCTGCTTCCTCAATCGCACGTTACCTCGACACGCACACCCGCCCGTACGAACTTCGCCAGCATAGGAACAACGAGACCCACTCTCTCCGCCTCCTGCCGTTCGCGCTGCTCCTGCACCTTCGGGTCTCCTTCTCTGGAAACCATCTTGAGCATCCCAAGGAAAGATGTATGCACGTGGAGGTACGAGAACCGCGGGTACCTCCTCGCCTCGGTAACTCCTCGCGCGCGTGTCGAGCCGTCAGCATCTCCAACGAGCGCATCCGCAAGGCGCGCGAACGCTGCTTCAAAGCCGACGAGCCACGAATTCGGGCCGTAGAACACGAGTAGTATGCTTTCGAGGAGCGGGAGTGGCGCGGGGCCGGGCGTCGACAGCACGTCTGCGAGGTGCTCGAGGAAGAACGGTGTTGGCGTAAAGGGCTGCGGCGTCCCAAATGCCTTTTCGCGGAGCAGACTCCCTAGGTACGGCATACGGCGGTCGTACTGGAGGTGGAGCGACCGCAAGGAGCCGCATCGCCGTAACCCCGATATGACGCGTTCCACGTGTTCACCTGTAATTGAGAAGGGATTGTCAGTCCAACTTGAATCGGTGGTCGAACGTGGCAGGCAGGTCAGAAAACTTACGGCCTTCAACGGAGAGGCTCATGTCGTCTTCAATGTCGCAGAATATAGTCCCAAAGTGGCGCAGTGACGGCCCGAACGAGGGAATCCCGGGAGCGACGGCAGCCCCTCCAGCTCCGCTGGGAAGCATGGGACAGCCAAAGTCGACTGAATTCAGTCCCGGTAGGAACTCCCTCGCCCGCTCCAGGAAGTCTGCCAGTCGTGCGATCTCCCCACCGTGTATCGCACCTCCGAAGAGGGATAACGTGCGCAGCGCCCACACCGGCGGTGGGCCGTCCCCCGCTCCTCCAGTGGGCGTGACACGCTCTTGGGGCCATTCCGCCGGCAAGCCCATCCTTGCGAGGCTGACAGTGTCCAGGTCGAGTGTTTCGAGGTGGGGCAGGTCTCGGATGAGCGTCACCACCTCGTACAGAGACTCCATGGCCAAGCGGCGCAGACGTAGGGACCGGAACGCAGGGAGCCGTGCGCTCAGTGTGACCAAAGCCGTCCTGTTGAAGAACACGTTCTGGATGCCCGGAGATTCTCTTGGGTGCAGAACGAGAGAGCGCACGTAGGGCGCGATGGCGGGGTTGCGGTTGAGGACGCCTATGAATGTCTCGGTGCGGGAGCTATGCGAGCCGTCCGACTGCACGGGCAACACGACCTCATGCCATAGTTGTACGCGTGAGATGGGCAGCAGCGCGTGGCATGTGAGTGAACAGGCTGCAAGCGAGGGGATGTCTCCGCGTAGGAAACCGATCGAATGCTCGATAGTCTCGAGTGGGATGGGAGGCGTCGGCATGGGGGGTGGAGATAACGTTGCGGTGAACTTGGGGACAATTTGGTGCTGCACGTATATAGGAAGCTCGTGGACCACCGCAGTAGTGAACGTTCCCGTAGGGTCCCACACGCGACCTCGAGAATCAGACGTGGCGGCGGCGCCGTGTAAAGAAGACGTGCATCGTGTTGCGCTTCCGCCATCGTTGGCTACACAAGCCACCCCATAATCTTGACAGCGCTAGAAGCATGGCCGGGTAACGATTTTTTGAAGCCGCCTTTGGACTACGGACATCTCGGACATGCTCACCTGGTTATAAGGTTCGGCAATCATTAGGATGTTCGACGCAATGGAAAATACGCATACCGATGTCAATTGAAAACATGCTTGACGCGAAACTAGGCTGTAATAAATGCTGTTGGATTCTCGTGATAGTATACAAATGTGAGCATAGATCCGTCAAGAAACACACCCAGAATGCCAGCCCCCAAACACGGGAGGACAGCGCTAGAACCCTTCCTCGAAGTCCTCTGGGTCGGCCAGCCCGCCGTCGAAGCGCACCTCCTGCATATCCACCTCGCTCCCGTCCTCGCTCATCTCCACGTCTCCGTCCGTATCGAGCGGGATGTCGATGTCTTCAACATCCCCCGCGGACGGCGTCGCAGTGGGCGCCGGCGCCGGCTGCGGCTCTGGATCCAAGAAAGCCAGACAGTCGTGCCCACACCCGCGCCATCGCACGGGGACGCCGACGCCCCCAACGCCGTCCCCGCCAACGCGCACCCCGGCGATGTCCTCTTCCCATGTAAAGCGCTCCTCCGCGGCGCGTACGAACACTGGGGCGTGCGTCTGTCCAATATGTGCTGGGGAGAGGCAGACGCTGATCGCGTGCTCATCCTCGTCGTGCCGGCGTGCTGGTGGGGAGGATGCGCGGTGTGTGCGCGTCCCTCCGAAGACGTCTTCGGGGGCCTGAGAATGAACGTCCCGTTGGCCCTCGTCGCGTCGGACTTTAGACGGACCGGGAAACTGCGCGGCCGCGGTGGGCTTCGCGACGGCGGCGGGTACGCAAGTGCGGAAAGTAGCGAGGACGGACGGCCCGAGTCCGAGGTCTTCGGTGAGAGGTAGAGCGTATTCGGCCTCGAGGACCGTAAGTGTGCGTGGAGGCGGGTTTGTAGTGGGGACAGGGTCGGTAGATGGTCCGGATGGTAGGAGTGCGAGGGCGGAACTAGAATGTGGGATACTGGAGGAGGACGGAGAATGCACTGGAGGGACATGGGACGGAGTCTGCACGTAGAATGATGGCGGATGAGGGTGATATGGAGCAAAGAGAGTACGGAAGCACAGCTCCGTTAGCGGGGGTACGGCGTAGTGCACCGCCGTCTCCGAAACTGGCCTGGGACGTCGTGATATGGGCTCGCTATCGGCGGTCGACGGTTGCGATGGGACGGGGTTCGACAGTGGCGGAGGAATCCAAGGATTCCCAGCTACCGTGAGTTTGGTCAAGTGCATGCTAAGCATCTCCACTGGGAGCCAGCGAAGCTTGTTTTGCGCGACATTGAGCTCTTTCAACGATGTGAGATGCACGATTTGGGGCGGGATAGTCGTGAGTGCATTTGATCCTGTGCACATATATGTATCAGCATGCTACTACTAATGAATCGATTGAACAGACGTACGTAAACTGAGTACAGTCAGCGAGGAAACGCGAAACAATTCGGCGGGTAGGTGGGTGATAGTGTTGTTGGCAAGGAATAACTGAATTTCGCGTCGTCGAAGAGGGCTTGAGGCAGGTAGAGGAACAGACTGTAGGGACGCGGCGCGAGCGGCGGGTGTTCCCCTGAGCCGTTCGCCATCTTTAGATCTCAGAAAGAAATTGTCGTTGAACGCTGCGGCCGGAAGAGTTGTAGCCCGAGTGAACGGCCGAGATGAGGAGGCATAATCTGAAGACGACGCGAGTAACGGCAGGAGTTTGGGGGAATGTTTCGGTGACGATGGCGCGCTAGACGGGGCTTGGGTTGGAGGGAGGACGACGAAGCCTTCGAGGTCCGCAATCGTTGGAGGAATATGCGAGATGGGACCCTTGCGCAAGCTCGTCCCCCTACATACCAGGATGCATAGAGTCAATCTTCCGAGCTCAGCGAGAAAGCGGTTATCACGCACGCTAGGTCAATGATCCCACTAAGCTTGTCGATGGCAGCAGTGATCGCCTCGTCCCACGCCCTGTGCTCGACTTCTTCATTTGTTTCTCGCGGAAGCTTCGCCTTAGGTTCGTCAAACTCATCATCGGTGAGCACCAGATCGTCGTCTAGATCATCGAGCGACATTGCGACCCCTACGCCGATCGGAGTCGGAGAGGTCCCTCTCCTCGTCCCGTACGGGTATGAGGTTGAAGACGACGCGCTAAAAGCACTATCTGTGGACAAGACGCGTCCATCCTTCTTCTCGTGTGTCGGGGGCCTCCATGTACGCTTTGCTGAACCCGAAAACGGGTCAACGACGCGTGTTGGGGTCGCGTTTTCTGTACTGAGGTCTCGCGAGAGCGCGTCCCCCGCGTCGACCAGCTTATCTTGACCTGGGATGTATGGCTGGATGTTCGCAGCTCGCCTCCTCGTGTCATCTCTTGCGTAGATACGCGGACGCTTGCTGGATTTGGTCGACCCTGCGAAGGGGTCCTTGGCACCGGGTGATGCTGGGGGTGTGCACAGCGCGAGAGGACTGGGAGACGACGGCGGAGACGAGTCAATTGGTGCTAGAGAGGGAGAGGAGGATGGAGATGGGGTGTAGAGTTCTGTGTCGGCCATGTCTTTGTGATTTGTCGCGAAAAAGGTGAATAGAGTGAGTGGCAGATGGACGTTCAGGCGGACGCAGCAGCAGCAGGGGGCCAGGCACGTAATCGGCCATTCCCGCGTTTGGTCACGGGATCGCGCCGCCCGATTGGTTCGTCTTCCCTCCGAGGACTCGAGTTGGGTCAGCTTGCTTGACTCTCTACCACCACCATCCCCTGCACATCTTACTAACACCCACGTACACCCTCTTAGCTCCCTTGCTTCACTAGGTCAACGGCGCTACTCGTCCTTCACCATGAAATTCGCCACGCTTCTGTCTCTGGGCTTGACTGGTCTCGCGAGCTGGAGCTTCGCTGGTGCCACTGACAGCGCTCGGTTTCTGGAGTCTCATCGCAACTTGCAATCTCGCGGACCTAGCTCTCAGTGCGAACCATTGAGCATATCTTTTGAATCTGCCCCATCTGCCGACGTAGACAGATCCTTCGTCGCCATCAGTCCTCCTGGATCTTACGAGCTGGGCTCGGGTGGCTTGCAGCTCTTCCTGGACAGACCGCACGGCTCGGTCACCACCAAAGGCAACGTCAATGACAAGCTTGCCGAAGGAGCGACAATCAACTCTACCTTCACATTACTGTCCGTAGGCTACTTCTCTCGCGTCCCTTGCTGCGAACGCCTCTAACGTCATGCCAGACACGGCAAAGTCACGTACACCTTCTCAGGCCCAGGGATAGCGGGCGTAGTCACCGCCGCCATCATGATCGCGGACGAGCGCGACGAGATCGACATCGAGCTCCTTGGCGGCGACTTGCCTCATTGGCAGACCAACGTGTTCGCGCCCGCCCCGCGCGACGACCAGCCGCTCTATGGCGCTTTTGGCGGGGTTGAAGACTACCCACACGGCCAGAAGAGCGTGAGGGCGATCCACTCTTACACCATCGACTGGAACGCAGACCGCATTCAGTGGAGCGTCGATGGCTCTGAGGTCAGGACTCTACGCAAAGGTGCGCCCGCTCTGCTATTCCTTCAGTGTTGGACTCACCGGCATATGCAGCGGATACGAAGAAGAACGGCGCTTTGCACTATCCTACGCATCCCGCGCGCCTTCAGCTCGGCATCTGGGACGCAAGCGCACCTGCGGGAACGTCGGAGTGGGCGCAAGGGCCTATCGACTGGGCTTCTGCCCCGCGCAGGATGACTGCGACATTCAAGAGCATCGAGGTGGAATGCCCATACTAGCCTGCATGATGTTCTCACAGACCCTACATATACATTTGGTACGACATGCCAATTCCTTGGTTAAACTTGTTGAGATGTTGCGGCACGCAACAAGCACGGACTCGGACTCCAAGAATCTCTTGCGGCTGTTGGTTACATGACGGTGCGCCATTCTGAACAGTACTACATAGTCAGGTGAGTAGTACACTGCAACGAATCTCGATTGTACAATGTGTGGAAGATTTGCACTCGATCGATTGACCTATTGGGCGCCTTACGGCCACTTACCAAGCGGTTGGTACATAGATAGGTTCCGCGGCAAGCCTCCGGATCCCCGTGCTGAACACCATCACCTCCGAGCATCTTCTGAGAAGCATTAGATGGAAGATAACGCGCGACGGCGCCATGGCAATATTGCATATTGCGCGTTGCTGCGCCGGCGGTATGGACTTGTAAGGAATTGTGGCCTGCGAAGGTCGGTGAGAAGGTACGAAATCCCTCTGAGACTTACCAGCTCATTTCGGCTGAGTCTTCAACGTTTCCGATACGGCCAGTCACCTGCAACCATTCTGGATTCTTGGCCTAGCCTCTGTCTCAGCGGAAGGCTGGAGCAAGAGGATACTCCGCTGTTCGCCCTGGAGTGACGGAGGTGATGAGCTGGGCTAACGTCACTAAGTGATGCTTGATGAGCGGGTCTCAAGCCTTGTTCGACAAACAGAAAGCCCGTCCCTCCATGTGGCGCAATCTCGTGTCTCAACGTGCAATGTGCACAGCTACAGAGACGAAGAGCAACATATGTGAGCATTTGCACACATGGATAGCGCAGCAGTCGTATTGATTATAATAGTCATTGATGGTGCTATTACCCGCATTGCATAAGTGCGGAACACAGGACGGGCTGGGCGGACCTGCACTCTCCCTCAACCGATCGGGTGCATCGGGGGCCATCGGGTACACAGGGCGCGAATCAAACGGCCTTCATTGAAGCTTCCAGGCCCTCCGCGGGGTATTCATGGGGGCGCAATGCTATCGGCGCAAAGCCGCCCGCGTCTCCTTCACGGTCAGCGCGGCGCTCTGCATCTGCGCACCGCCATCAAACGGCGTGATTGCGGCCACCCTGAGCCAAGTCGGGACGCCAATATATATTGCGGGCGTATCGCAGCGGGGCTCGAGTACGCACCCGGCACCGACCCTCGACCATGGCGTCCGCGAACCAGACGGCCACCCCCTCCGCGAGCGCGGCGCTGCCCGCCCTCCCCGCGCTGGACAACACCTTCGGGGCGCTGTATCTTGGGACCTGCTTTGGCTTGATGTGCGTGTGCTGCGTCGTTCGATCAGGACGGGCTGTCGGAGGAGGCTAACTGCGCCCGCAGATTGTACGGGCTCACCGTGCACCAGGTGTACCGATATTTTCGGTTATACCCAACCGACACAATCTTTCACAAGACTTATGTGCGTCAGAGTCTGGTCAGCCTACGCGTGTCGCTCACCACCTGCCTTGGCCTACAGGTTCTATTCGCTTTGTACGTCACGCCTATGGTCAGTCGACGGGAGGCGCTCATGACTTTGTAGGGCCATTGAAACACTTCATTCTGTCTGCACCATGCACGTAGTGTGAGTCCGTTAATCTTCTTACGACCTTCATCAGCGCACTGAAATCTTGATCTTCAGATATCACTATTTAGTCACCAACTACTTCAACCCCCTGGAGCTTGGGAACGACATTTGGTGAGTGCAGATCCGCGACCGAAACAGATACATGCTGACATCTTTTTCAGGTCGCTACGAGTAAGTGTGCGACCCCCTAGCTAGTGGGTCAAGATATCTGACGAGTGCGCTGTACCCGTTAACGTTACGTTCTATAGACGCTTACATGGGTTTCGGTGAGTTATCCTGTTGCAGTCGGAGCCTGTGGTATGCTGATATGCCACCCCGTGGTGAGGGTCTCGCCATCGTTCTTTCACAAGGGTAAAGTCGAATCTCGCGTCTTTGAGGAACACCCCGACACGACGCTCAACCCTGCTTAGATTCTACGCTCGACGTGTGTTCAGACGTACGTGCCGCTGCGACGGGTGGCGTTCACGCAGAGTTCTGACGGACGAGTAGTCAGTGAAGGCTGGTGGTCCAAGATCTTGGTCGTTTTAGTGGTAGGTGCCTCCGCAATGACCATGTGCTCGTGCGTCTAACTTGCTCCTCCACGCAGATCCTCCTTATCCTTGTTGAAATCGGTGTGTGATACAATCCTTATGGACCAGCCTAATACTCACTGTCTTTGACACCTCGGTCGCGCAGCTTTCATCATCGGTAAGTCCCCGACCCAGGTTCAACGTACGATACCCTAGCTGACACGCAATTCTCCATCGTCTAGCTGCGACAATCGAGGGGTGCGTGCATGATCGATCCGGGCGTATATATGCCACGCATGACTGACGGCCGGCATCTCCTTCCAGGTTCCTCCTCGCGACACTCGCCGAGTATCAAAAGTTCGCCGTACGTCGTCTGTCATTACGAGTTGCACGCATCTCCCTGAACGCCATGTAGTGGATGGTCTCCGTCGTATATGGCGTGACGGTTTCCTGCGACATTATCCTCACTGGCAGTCTCACGTGGGTGCTGCTCAAGAAGCGGACGGGCTTTAGGAAGTGCGTTTATCGAGTTTCTCGTCCCCGCTTTGCGACTCACACGTCCGTCCAGCACCGATTCGCTCATTGCAGTCATTGTACTCTACTCAATCAATACCGGTACGTCTCTCTCGTTTTGTGATGAGGGTCGGACTGACCTTGTCGCCTAGGCCTTATGACGGGGTAAGGTACTCTGTATCGTGGAGTCCGCTCAATCTGTTAACCTGCGATCGTATATCAGCGTTTTCGGGCTTCTGGTTTTCATCTTTGTGAGTGCCCGTATCATACAGTATAGCGCTCTCAGCTGACCTCGCGGTCGAAAGGCACTGGTCATGCCGAACAACCTGGTATACATCGGTATCAGTATCTTCGGCACAAAACGTGAGTAGTTACCCCGCATTTGCGGTCTACCGCTGCTGACAGAGCGCTCTACAGTATATATCAACTCGGTGCTGGCTGTGTACGTGCCAGTAGCCATTCATTTTATACACAGATGCTCACACGGCTCATACAGCCTCAACTCGCGCAAGTCGCTGAACAACAGGAACCTGAACGGTTTCGAGCTCAACTCGTTCGACACAAACGGTATGCCTGGCTCAAGCACGTCCCGCAGCCGGAACACCACACATCTCGCCAGCGCGCTCAGAGTGAGTCCATTGCATTCAGTTCGGTTGCAGATCACCATAACCTGAATCGGCACTAGGTGGGCGTATCGAAGACGACGGCGACGCATGTCGACATCCAGATGAAGCCGCAAACACACCTGAACCGCAGCGCGGAGGACGGCCTCGGCGACGAGATGCCCATGCAGGAGTACAAGTAGTTGCTGCTCTGGGTCCCGCCTCCCCCTCTCACCTTCCTCCGAGGGCTCCGCCGTTTCCCTCGTTCTTTGGGTCAGTGTTGTGCCGGCAGGACGGTATACCGTAACTGGGGCTAAGTTATCCGATGATATATTTGTGTCAATAGATTAGGCCTGTAGTACCAAAAGACACCGCAATCATACCAGTCGCACTTATAGGATGAGATGCGAGTACCGTCTGTCTCCCAAACGAGTTCGGGGATGAACGGGCCCCGCATACTGTACCTCCAGGACCAAAGCGGCGGGGGGTTTGGGGTGTGACCGGCCGGACACGACCGTCCAAAGCGGCGCGACCGGCGGTGCCTGTGACCGCCCGGTAGGCAAAGCGGCGCGGGGCCCCGCAGGGCCGCCAAAAACGCCTTTTTGGAGTGTGACCGGCGTCGGCTCGCCGCCGCTGAAGCGGCGGGGGCGACTGTGACGCGGGACACACCCCCTAAAGCGGCGCGGCGGAGGTCGCTGTGACCTGTGACCCGCCGCTTTGGTCCTGGAGGTACAGTAACGTGTTTCGGCCGCCGCGGCTCATACACACCCTCACCGTTTTACGAAGCTGGCCACTATTCCAAATGTCTCGATCGACTAACTGGCAGTACCGCACGATCGACCGAGGATCGGTTCTCGACATTAAGGAGGAGGAGGCTATAGGAGGGGTTTCCAGGTCCTTGGGGTCGAGTTTGACAGGCCTCTCGACGCCACTCGAGCTCAGTTGACGCGGACCACGCTGAGCGCGCGGCCTCCGGCATCTTCCGGTTTCGCGTGGAACACGACCACCATCATCGTGCTCTCTGCCTTGCGCCGCCTTTGCGTCTCGATGTCTTGATGCACAAACGCCATATGATACCGCCTGAAAACGCGTAAAGGTAGGTATCGATGCCCATCTAACTGACAGCATAGGCGGAACGTCTTCTAAGCTCATACACGAGGTCAAGGCTTATTGTTCACTGGAATGACCTTCGGCCTGCCATGCTGCCTGGCTGTCGCGTAGTCTCACACGTCAAGATCAGCATAGGAGGCGCATGCCCAAGGGCACCAGCGGCACTCCATAACAACTCCAGATGAATTACTGGGATTCTCATCACCATCTGTTGAGCGCACAATTAGCAGCGAGTGCGGGGAAGGGCAGCAGCTAGAATGTGAGAGCGATGTAGAGATCAGTGCGAGATCTGGAAAGCGGACGTCGAGCAGACCGCGAGTCCGCCAAAACACGGTCTGAGCAGAGGACCACCTGCAAGTGCATCGCAGCAGGGGCGAGGTGGGGTCGACGTTGAACCGGGCGACGTCTACGACGGCAGGAGAGGAGGGAGCTCGAGAGCAGCGATCGAGCAGCTGCCAGACGCGTGACGTCACCCCTCCTCAATCGATCCCGTGCCGATCGGATTCGCTCTGCACGCAGGCGCCCCTCGGCTCGGACCGAGCTCTCTTTGGCTGCAACCGACTCGATAGATCGTCGCCTTGGGCGTACATATGCGCAGAGCACCGCCCACCGGCTGCGCATTCATGCGCGCGAGTGCGCAGCAGCGTAGGAGGCCTTCGAAAAGGCACAGCATAGCCCACATTGCGCTAACAACACCCTCGACAGCCTGCGGACCATCCTTCTTACACACGGACCGCCCTGCCAGGCTGCCGCCCATCAAAAAGATACGGCGCAGACCCCCCGGTAGACGAGCCCCGGCAAGGTAGGCTGTGCTTTCCGACCACATTGCGCGTCGCTCGAGGTCATGAGCAGCCTTTGTGGCGAGCATCACATCGCCGTCCGCAGTCGACGTATCACCTTCTCGCTACGCCGCGGTGGGCTAGACGATGGTATGAGGGGGTAGGGGTGCGGAGGTCTCCTATGGCAGCGTAGTAATTTGATCTTACAGAGGAGGCACCGGCGGGCGTTCATCAAGTGGCCGTACTCACCTTCGCTGCGGAGACTGCACGATCGACGCTGCCGCACGGTGCCAGGAACTATACCGCCTACGCGAGCACCGTGGCTTCACGACGCGGCGTATCTCAGATCATATGCACGGCGACTTCGGGATGTTGGTACGTGATTTCATGACTGGTAATAACGTACACGCTCATACACACTCGCAGCCCGCCTGGCTAGCAGGAGGTACACTTCCTCTGTTTTTTCTCCATCGACTCTCTGCGTCACGCAATTCACGCGTCCTTAGCCCAGCTCACGGTGCGCTTTGAGCGCTCACCCTGTAGAGAACACTCGTCAGCATCGCGAACCCATGGACTTCAAGCACGGTGGACGTACGCGAATCTTTTCCTCGATCAGCTTCTTCAACGCCTCGAACTCCTTCAAGAGCTCTTCGTCGATCTGACTGGCAGTCTGAGTCTGCGAGGCGTCCGCCGCCGATGAAGACGCCGACGCGACAACCGAAGTGCTGGCAGAGGCGACAGCGGCGGATGATGCAGCCACGGACGACGACGCAGCCGCGGCGCTGGTCGAGGCGGCGCTAGCTACAGAAGAGGCCGCCGCGGAAGAGCTTGCCACGGACGATGTCGCGGCTTTGGTCGCCTTGGCCGCCTTCGTAGAAGTCGACGCAGCCGGCGCCGACGACGCGGCGGCAGCGGAGGTCGATTGGCTATCACCCTTGCCGCCGGCAACAGCAGCCTGTTGGACGACGACGCAGTTGCCGAACCCGCCCGCGGTGGTGAACGAGACGAGGCACTTGTCCTTGGACGCGCCCCCGGCGCACGTGCTGCCCGCAGGGAGCTGCACGACGAGCTGCTGGGAGCCGTTGTCGTTCGGGTTCTACGGGAATTCATATGGTGAGCCTTCGCACGCGCGGTACGATCTAGCCACTGACCTTGTCCCCGTTCTGCAGGACGTCGGCAGAGACGAACGACTTGCCCGTGCCGGTCGGGTCGACGAGGGCAGTCACCTGCCGCGAGCCGTCGATCCCTCCGTTGAAGTTGGTGATAGTGGCGACGAACGAGCCGTTCGCGGCCGCCTGGATCGCGGTGGAGGAGTCGAAGTTCTTCGCGATGTCGATGTTCCCGCACTCGCTGTTCTTCTGCGGGCGCTGCGCGTCGTTCCGCACGGGCGTGCCCTTGATGCCGAGGGCGGGCGAGATCGCTGCGTGCGCGTGCGCCTGGAGGGCGAACCCGAGGCACAGCGCGGCAGTGGCAATGACACTCTTGTTGAAGATCATGACTGGGAGTAATAAAGCGACGTGTATGGACGTAAAGCGTAGGAAGGAGTGGAGGTGCTGAGGAAGCGAGGGGGGAATGCCGGCAGACTACAAATGTGAAGAGGATCCTGCCTCAGTACGTCGATACAGCCAGAGTGCACGATGGGGGGCCTCTCTCGCCCGCGCCCGTCCTTTTATTGATTCCCCCAGGCCAGGGCGCTTTGACGTGTGATGTGGGTGCTTCAAGGGGGTCAATGACCTATGCAATTGAGACGCCACCGGCCGCGGGATCAGTGCAGCAGCCCGCGCGCTCCGTTGCTACGGGCACCGTGTTTGCGCACCGGGGGCCCAATTGTGCACGTCCGACGGGCAAATACACCGCGCGCATGCATGTATTCGGAAGTCGCGGAGCTACTTCAAATGCACTGATGAAGAGCGGTGTGTACGCCGACGTCGGATTGGATGCTAAGTTTGAGCGTCGCAAGTAGGCGCCGGGGCGGCCATTGTCTGGAGGACGCCCATCCGCGCATACCTTTCAACGTCTCTCCGCCTTTGGGCGCTTCTATCCTTTTCATGTGTGTCTCCTTCTCTACTCTGCATGCAGCAGCGCCGCCCGCAACAGCGCCGCCTGCGTTTCTCGAGAACACGATGCACCCTACCTCCGCCTCGACCCCTCTCAGGCTGCTCAAGGGCTCGATCATCGGAGAATCCTCCAGCTCACTACTGCGAGCACAAGCACGCCGAAGCGGTCATAGGTGTGCAGTCCTCACCCGCCCCGCGTGTACTCTTCCCTCATTTCGCTCTCTCCTTGACAGCGCGCGCACGAGGAACGTATGCGGCGAGGTTGATACCGCCGAGATCTAGTATTGGGTAAGTTCGTAGCTCGTCTCGATGCGAATTGCGCTCACTATCGCGTAAAAACAGTACCTTCGATGCGCACCCGCGAATAATCTTCTGTGCCATTCGCGTACTCCACGGCCCGCACTGAAAACGCCTGTAGGACGTACATCAGGCTTGCACGATGACGCACCGGCGCGCGCTAAGATAGCGCATACGCCGTTCGCCTGCAATTCGGTCCACACGGGGGCGCGGACGCCGCCACCCTTTGTCATTGGTGCAGCTATCCACAGCGGTACACTGGCACAGGGTCTGTGTACCATCATTGAGCACGTTCTACTCTCGTATCGGGTGCGTTCCCAGCTTGTTCTTCTGCGAAACACGCTCACAGCGTCCCCACAGAGCGCCATGCGGTACACACCCCAAGAAGCTCCTCGCCCCGGATGCAAAACACAACGGCCACCACTCGAACGGTGACATCACGGTCGAGAACACTCGGAATACGCTGTCGTTACACCCGCTAAGCTGTCGCCAACGTCCTCCGCCCGGAAAGCCGTTTTCCGGCTGGCGACCGCTTCATAGCCTTTCGCCCGCGTTCCCGCGACATCCATCCGGTTGCGCATGCTAAATCATGATCACGCGGTACGTTCGTATGCACTCTTGCTCCAGGCGCGTTTGCAGCCCGCGCGTACGCGTACAGCACTCACAGCGTCGTCTTTTCAGGTTGCCCACAACGCAAAATACGCACAACACGCTCCGCACCGCTCGCCCCGGCCCTCTCGCGCGCCTGCACCATCGTGGGATCCCTCTCAACCATGCCTGACGACCCCGCCACCGCGCATCGACACCGCCCATGCGCACGCGGTCTCGCGCCGGCAGCCCGGCACTCCCACATGCCATCGCCGCCCCACCTCGACGCCGGCCCCAAATCCTTAGCAAACATGACGGCGAGCCCCCGTGCACACCGGTGCATACACCCACCGAGTCTCGGCGCGCCCGGAGCGAAAAAAAGTCCGGCCATTTCGGTCGATTTCATTGGCAAACTGCGAAACGACATACAAAAGCGCGCGTCCCGCCGCGCTCCCGCCCCCGGAGACCGCGCCGTTTGGCCAGCACACGCCACGGAGCACCCGCTATCGGCCCCCGTCGCTTTCGGGCGCGTGGGACGACTTTGATTTTGACGGGTTTGGCGGCGGGAGGTTCGCGTGCACGGCTCGGGGTGCGATGCCGTGGCGCGGCGCGGATTGCTCAAGCTCCGGACGAGTCAGCGACGCGCACCGCGTCTCTACGCCGGTGCGCACGTGTCCCACGAGACGGCAACGCGCGCAGAGCGGGCGGGCGGCGCGCTGTAGTCTCCGCCGCTCGCGGGTGACTCGTGCGTGGCCCGCCTCGCACCTCCGTGCCGCGAACCACCCCCGCGGGCGGCGACGGAGACTTACACGTGCGCTGGCAGCTACGGGCGCGATGTGCGGGGAAATGCGCCACGCCGAGACAACGACACCAAGAGAACGCGTCCAGCAGCCGTCGCCATCGCCGACGCCAATGCCGTTCCTGCGCCCGTCCCCGTCGACGGTCCCCCGGCGGCGCCCCCTGCGCCTAAGCAGCCTTGGAGACCGCCGGCGCAGGGCGTATACTTAGCGCCGCGAGGTGGGCCGCTCTCCGCCCGGCGGTGAAGGACACTGCGCGCCGAGTTTGTGGCTCTCCCGGCCGCGCACTTGAGATGTATATACGATATCCTAGGCCTCCCTCGCCACCGCCTCCTTGCCGCCGTCTCCCGCCAAGCGCCCGGAGTACGTCCTCCGCGACGCCCGCAACGCCGTGCTCGTCGCTCTAGGCGGCCTCGGCGCGCCTTGGTCGTGCTGGGACGGCCAAACGAGGTGAGCGATACAGCGCGCGCGTCCGGATTGTCGCACTCACCCGTGTCCTCAATAGATCGCCGGCGGCCGCGCCGCGTTCACGCCGGACGCCATGATGCGGAAGGTTCGAATCAGCGGGAAAAGATCTTCGAAGGTGAGCTCACCCCTGTGTCCCGGCTCGGAGACAGACAGTCCACTCACCGCACGTCCATCAGACGGTTCGGGGGCCGCCACGCGCGATGTGTCCGCGGTGTGCGCCGGCTTGGGCCGTAGTATGGTCCTTGAACGAATGTCTGCGACGGTGCGATGAGCGCACAGACACGCACATCGCCATCCTGCGTACCTCTCTTACAGCGCGCCCTTGTACGTCCCAGGGGGCGCAAGGAGTCCGGCGAGAAACGGCGTGGCGGGCTGTGTGATTACGCACATAGGGGGCCGCCCTGTTCTTCCTCTGCGCGGTGGACGCTGGGCGACGTGCACGGTAAGCGACACATCTCGTCCTCAAGGATACTACCAGACTCACCGTGCCGTCTCGTTCCCCGTAATAGCTTCGCCATTCCCGCGTGCCAAGAGCTCACTATGCGCTATCTTCGCGGCCGCTCTCCGTCTCACGGACTCGGACCTGTAGTAAAGTCAGACGGCGCGTATTCACACGGAAGGATGTCAGATTTGCTCACCGCTCGATGCAGGCCCGTCCGGACGTTCGCGCGACACCATTGTGCGGTGGTCGACGCCTGCGCGTCAGCATCTAGCCTCCCAGCTGCCGTTTTCGTGCACGAGAGACCGGCTGCGAAAGAGGTATGTGAGGCGAATGCGCTCGTTCCCCAGGGGGCTCGCTGACGCACCTGAGACAGCCTGATAACAGCTGCGAGTCCATGCAGGCACGAGCCCGCCGTGCGCCGTTGCATGCTGCCTATGCGTACACACCGAGTTAACGTGCGCCTCGTATGCCGTATGCCACCCTATGCAGCTAGTAAGAGCGTGTGCAAGCCACAAGGAGAGGGCATACTGAAACAGGAGCCGGTACAGTGTATGGATTCGAGGGTGCCGCATTCGCATCCGCCGTGTCGTACGCCACACGCCCACGGCGCGAGCTAGCGAAAGAGTGAGAGGTCAGTGACAAGTTACGGGCGGTTTGAGCGACGCTGACACACCTCACATTTAACAGATCTCGTACGGCGCAGGATGCAAGGTGCCGCAGCTCCCGATGTGCGAGGACCGGCGACGAGAAAGGGAGGTAGACCCGGCGAGGGGAGGGGAAGGTGGACATGTCTGCTAGGACAGTGGGAGGAAAAGGGAACGGTGAGTACGCCCGCGTCGGCATCGCCGGGCTCGTACTTATTCCCGCCGTGATTTAGGGCTGTCCTCCGTGCCCGTCGCACCATGGTCCGTGCGGCGAGCTTCCACCCGAGCCCAGCGATCCCCCGTCGTGTGGAAACGGCTGCTGGCGGGAACGGGGCGACGTCTTTACGAGAGGACCGGGGAGCGCACCGAGCCCGCTGGGTGGCGCACCAACCAGGATGCGCCACGATCAGCCGAGAGACATGGCACGAGCGGGGGAGCGCGCGCGCGGACGCACCGCGGGAGGGGTGAGGGTGGTTACCCGGCGTGGTGCGTCTCGCCCTCTGGTCTCGATTCGACGACGGAGGACACGCTCGCTTCAGATGGGCGGCGCTTCGTACGCGGGATCCTGACACAGCCCGCCCTTGTTTCCAAGTCCACCAGTGCCGCTGCATTGGACGAGCTACGGCATTGGCGGATGCATTCTGCGAGCTCGTCCGGGGCCAGGATGTTGATTTCAAGCACAATCCTCCTGGCCTGCACAAGGACCTCTGCGCGGCGGCGAGCAAGAGACCTAGTTGGCGTGTAAGATCATAAATATATTTTGTGCCGTGCATCTCGACCCTGAGAAGTGTGAGCCTCTGCATAACGACATGTGCGCGCAGATCGGCAGTGTACGTTGATGTCCAGAGCATGATCTCCGCCCGCCTTATGCGAGACGTCCTGGAGCTGGTCCGACATCATGTCATGCAGCCGAGGAAAATGCTCAGCGACGGCCGTCGGCTGCTAGCTGCTAACTCAGGCACTGGCGGCACCAACCTAGACTAGCAATGGGCTCGTCGACTCGACCGCGGCTCTTGTCTTGTGTTGCGAGTGGATGAGGCCTGTGTTGCGGGTCGAACCTTCTTACCGAATTAGGTAGGTAGATAGATTGGATTTCATGTCTGTGCCAGTGCACGCAGACTTGGATGGCTCATTCCGTGACCTCGACGAGCTCAAACATCTCGCTGAACATCC